CAGGTTTCCAGCTACACGCCCTAGTCACACTCCCTACAAAACTCCAAAGCCTCCTGGAGTCCCAGTGGACCCATGGTTTGGATTCAGAATCTAGGATGGAGAGATCTCTAGAGGAGTGCCCTTTCCCGGCAACTGGCTCAGGGTTCTGTCACTCACTCTCGATGCCATTCATAGATTTGCTGTATGTTCCCGAACACGATCCTGTCACGGCCTCGAAGACTCTCGGGAACCCCCTGAGTAGCCATGGTAGCCATGTAGCCCTGTGGGAAGGATGAGACCAGGCTATGAGCCTGTAACCTGGGCCCCGGGTAACCCCAACATGAAGCCCAGCAGGAGAGGGCACAGAGGAATACTGTCTCCTGAAATATCCCCAGGCAGAGGGAAAGGGCAAATGGACCATGGCCGGGAAGGAGAAGAGAGAACTACCTCTACGATCTGTCCCAAATCATCCACATACATTTTTTCTGTTTCTACCAGCTCGTTCAGGACAAACCTAGGGAGTACAAGGCAGTGCGAGTTAAACATCCTTAGCTTAGCCAGTTCCTATTGGACTAAATGACCCTCTATCACCACAGCCTCCCCGAGGACGGTAAAATGGAGGGATCTTGTGGAAGTTTAGCAAGTGGAGTGCGCTGTGAACTTACAGACTCCTTTCCAGGGCTGCCTTCTTCTGCTGGTCCTCGTCCTGGGGAGCGTGAGACAGAGTCTCCTCTTCAGGTGGCTGGAGGACAAGAGCCAGGGTAAACACAGGGATCTCTTCTCAGTGAGGACAGCCTCCTCAGATCTATATTCATTCTTTTCTTTTTTTAAAGATTTGTTTGTTTTGAGACAGGGTGCTTCTATGTATTTCTCCCTGTCCTGGAACTTGCTATGTAAACCAGGCTGGCCTTGAACCTACAGAGATCCACCTGTCTCTGCCTCCTAAGTGTTGGTATTGAAGGTGTGGGGCACCATACCTGGCTTAAGTTTTATTATTATTGCTGGGCGGTGGCGGTACACCTCTTTGATCCCAGCACTTGGGAGGCAGAGGCAGGTGGATCTCAGTGAGTTCGAGATCAGTCTGGTCTACAAAGAGAGTTCCAGGACAGCCAGGACTGTTACACAGAGAAACCCTGTCTCAAAAATAAAAACCAAAATAATAATAATAATAATAATAGTAATTATTATTATTATTATTATTGTGTTCAGGGTGCCACTGTGTGCTGGTACCCGCAGAGACCAGAAGAGGGTGCTGTTTCCTTTGGAGTTGGAGAGTTTCTGTAATTGTGATGTGGGTGCTAGGAACTTATGGGTCTTATGGAAGAGTAGCAAGCTTGTCTCCAGCTCCTGTTTGGTTAATTTTGAAACATGATCTCCTATAGCCCAGGAGGGCCTGGAACTTGATAGGTAGCTGAAGTTGGTCCTGAACAGGTGCATGCCACCTGCCCAGCTCATTTCTTCATACCTGTGTCTTGTCTCCGGGACCCTCCAACAATGTAGTCAGTAAGGTTAGTTCTGGCAACCTGTCTCCTGTGGTTAGCGTTGGTTCCAGCATCCAGTTCTAAGGCCAGACAGAGTGACTGCGGTCATGGACAGTCGAGGGTTCCCCAACCTGCTGCCCTTTTCAGTGTCCTTCCTGAATGCCCTACATCTGTGGTGCTCCCCACTCACCTCATATTGCCCCATTTGACCACTCTCTGCCTCGGTTTCCACACTGAGACAATGTTTGGAATGATCCAACCATCTCCTCAGGCCAGTTACTGGCTCAGGGGGGGGTTGGAGAACAGGGGTGAGAGTTGAGACCAGACGGGGCAGCTAGACCTGAGGCAGCAGATGTTGACAGGCTCCCCTCACGACCAGCAATGGAATAGGATTCTAATGAGAGGGAACAGAGAGCAGTTGATGGAATCTGCTACCCCCGCTACAGACTCCAGGTCCCAGGGGAACGCCCAGCATGTCCCTCCACGGTGTGCAGACCCTGACTTCCAGGGCTCCCTGTTCTGCCAACCCTCACTCCAGTTGGCCAGGATAGACATCTTTGCAAGGGCACCCTGGAGTGGAAGGACAGTAAACACCTGGCCTGTACTCCTCCAGTTCCGTGTGGAGGTTCCCCATACCCTAAGCATAGCTCAGATATGGGGGTGGGGGCGGCCATCTGGGCAGAGCCTGGAAACTGGGGGGGGGGCAGCCATCTGCTTTCCTGCAACACTCCCCCTTCCGATAGGTACAGACCATTCTCCCAGAGAGGAGTGAAAACAAAAGAGCTCAGCTGTCTGCCACCCCCAGACCCCTCCTCCTCCAACTCCAGTAATTACTATATAAAAAAATTTTTTTGAACAGCCCATCTCTCCCGCAGATGCACATGCCCAACAGAGGGGGCAGTCAGGAGAGAGCAGCAAGGTTGCCTTTGGCCAGAGAAGGGCTGCAACCTGAGCAGTTCTTATAAAGCCCCTGCAGACGGTGAAACCCCCCCCCCCCCCCCCGTTTGTCATTCCTCTATTCTTGGCTGGAGACTTTTCAGCCAAGTGATGTGAGGGGAGACACATAGTTCTGGGCCTCAGAAGATCGTGAGAGAAGTTTTCCTCCTAGCCAGCTGATTATAGGAACGAGATGAGTCCTCTGACCCCTTCCTCAATCCCCACAACTTGAGTGAGTGGAAATCTAGTAGAAAGGACCTCAGATATTCTCTGCTAAATCACTTTCCTGGAAAACACACATACAGGCTCCAGCCCTAAACCCCCAGGGCCGGAGTAAGAAGCAGATGCCTTATACCCCAGCTCAAGCCAACCCCCAACTCAAGACTGCCCCCCCAGACCTCGCACTCACCACGGCCCCCCCGGGAGAAGCAGCAGCCGCATTTTGCCAGCACTTTTCGAATCACACGGGGACAGGCACAGCGACCCCCTTTGTGACCCCCCCGCATGGCGCCCGGGGCCCCCCGCACCCCCCACCCGGGCCGGCCATGCAGGGGGAATCACGGGGGGCGGGGCGGGGACGGCGCAGGGCGCACACCCCCCTCCCTCCCTCCGGGGTCCAGGCTTGGGGGGAGGGGGAGGAAGGGGATGGGAAGCGGGGGTCCAGGAGTAGACGGAAGTCGCGGCAGGGGAGTCTGGAGGAGGGAGGGCCGTGCGGGGCTGGGCTGCGGAGTTGGGCGGGGAGGGTTTCCGGAACCCCGGCGGTGCGGGGCCCAGGGTCCAGATGTCCCGCCAGAGGGAGGGACAGCGGGGGGAGGCCCGGCCGGGATGCGACAGCAGCTCCAGCTCCGTCTCCGGCCTCGGCTTAGAGGTGGCCCTAGGCCCGGGCGGGGTGGTGCGGGGGCCGGCTCCCGGAGCCACTGGAGGTGCGCGGGTGCGGGCAGAGCGGCGAGGCGAGCGAGCGAGCGAGCGGAATAACAGGCCGGGCCGCGGTGCTGCCGCGGGGAGGGGCCTCTGGGCCGGGCTCCGCCTCTCCCGCGCTGCCCCCACCCCGGGTCCCCTCCCCCAGGCACCACCGAGCTCCCACTCCACGGCCCGAGACCTCCACCCCTCCTCCCCGGCCTGGGCTCCCCCGCCCGCCCGAGATCCGGATCCCTGTAGCATCCCAGCTGCGACTGCGGGGCGCGGGCTGGGCCAGGCGAGGCGCCTGGTGCGGGGAGGGGGGGTCTGTCTGCCTCGGTCGCCCCTTGGCCTCTGAGATGAAGGATTCGCTCGCTGGATGGGGCTTGGGCTTGTGCGAAACGTCCTGGGGTTCTGGCTGCACCCCGCCCCCCCCCCACGCAGGGCATGCGTGTCTGGGGAACACTTTGTGAGGAACACAACCCAGGTGCCGCCCTCTCCCCCCGACCCTTCTTTCCTCCAGGCCCCAGTACTCCAAGCTAAAACTAATCACCAATTAAGGCGAAGTCCAGGCGCCTGAGCTGGCCGAGGGCCAGGGGTGGGGCGCGGGGACACTCCACTCCGCCTTCGGGGGCTTGGGACCCGCCGAAGTGAGGACACACATCGGGCTAGAAGGCGAAGAGAAGCGTGGTGTCCGTGATTAAACGGTCCCATGCAAATTAGGTGCAAACCTCTATGTCAATGCGCACGGGATCCATCTGAAGCCTCCACTTGGCGCAGGATGGCAAGTTGAGCCCCACCCAAGCCCAGCTTCTTACCCGGCTGCAGAGCCCAGGCGCGGAGCCCAGGTTCGCGCTCCCCCGTTTGGTCCTCCTCGGGACAATCACTGCCTGTCTTGGTACTCCCAGGCCCTAGGGGGTCTCTCTCCGGGGGCTGCCGGGACAGAGTCACTGTAAGGAACCCCCTCCTAGGCTGCCTTGACCTCCCCCTTCCCCTCCCCCTGCTGTCAAACTGCTCCCGATCCTGAAGGGTTCGACGAGACCCTGGCCTGTGGCCTTTATAGCCGAATTTAGGGATCCCTGCGACCGACTGACTGCTCCATATAACTTTTGTTTGCGGGTAAACTGAGTCGCGGAGTGCAATTCTCTTGAAGTCCCCTAAAGACCCCCCGACCCCACCCGCGGTCCCTCCTCCTTACCCCCTCCTGCCCGGGTACGGCGCATGCGCGCAGCATGCCCCCCATGACCCCCAGTATCCGGTCAGTGCGGCCAGGGGTGGGGCGGTCCGGGGGCTTCATGCTGGACCCCTACCCCGCTTCAGGTTTCAGGGCCGAGGGGCTACGGAAGCTGGGGGGCTCTGAGGCCTGCGTGCGTCCGGGGAGTTGCTACCGCCGAATCCGCCCCCCTGCCCGGCTCCGCCCCCACCCCCACCGCAGCCAAACTTCGCAAAAGGGGTAGGGTTGTTCCTTTCTCCACAAACGGAGTTGAACAACAAACAAACCCCTCTTAATCCCGATTCCATCCATCCGAGTGTGGCCTAGAGCTCTTCAGGGTTATCGCAGCGCCCCTCACTAGTTTCATCCTGTTCCCCAGGGTCCCAGGAGGTAGAGACTGTGCAGGCATGCGAGGATTCCCCATTCCCTCATCTCCTCAGCGGGTCCTGCTCCCCACCCTCACCCTGTCCAAGGAAGAGAAGACGGGTGTGGCATAGAGTTGCATATTTTACTTTATTTTTATTAAATTAAAAGCTACAGTCTGGCAGCAATTCCAGAACAGGGTGAGGAGGCTCCTTATAGGGGCAGAGAAGAGCGAGAGAAAGACAGACTGACTGACAGACAGACACGGGAGAGAAAGGATCCGATAAGGTAGGACTACTGTTATCTTAACACATAGCTGGCTGTGGGGGAGGCAGCTAATATCAGTCCAAGGACAAACAACAGTATTCGGGGGCTGGAGTTGAAGAGACCTCCATCCTCCCTACCCAGACCCTTTCCCAGCTTAGTGACTGAAGCACATACCAGGAAAAGCCAAAGACACCGGCGGAGCTGGGGGCAGAGAGAATATGTACACGGGGAGTGCGGGGAGGGGAGCCCGGGAAACCAGCCTCTGCCGCAGGGGCATGGCTCAAAGGGCACTGGAGCACTTGGCCAATGGGGGGCAGGGGAAGGGACTGTCCCCTTCCCCACTCAACTCCCACCCCAGTCAGACAAATCCCCTCGTGGGCGGTGTGGGGGCAGAGAGAGCAGAGGTTTCCGGTGGGTCCTATAGAAGAGGACAGCAGGGGCCTTGGCGGAGGGGATGGCGTCCTTCAGTCATCTGTGATACCCTTGGCAGGGGCCTTGGCGGAGGGGTGGCGTCCTTCAGTCATCTGTAATACCCTTGGCTCTCAGTTCCTCTTGCACCCTAGTCAGGTAGGTGGGGTCTGGATACCCAAACCTGGGGGAAAGAGAAATGGGGGTCGGGGTTAGCTGTGTGGACTTGTCCATTAAGACCCACCCTCATCTTGACTGACTCAGTAGAGGCCAGATTCAGACCCCTCCCCACCTCCCATGAGGAGGGACCCTCCAAAACCAAGATAGGCCAGAATCTGCGGGGTTTTTGCTTTGTTTAAGCTGAACACATCGGGACTAGGATGAAAACAGAGTCGCACAGCTGGGGTCCCCCTGTGCAGCTGGTCTTGTGGTGGATGTCGTTCCACGTGATGACATTGGGTCTCCCTGTAGTCATGGACGTGCCAATGGTGAAGGTGAGGCGTTGGTCAAAAGCCTTCCGGAACAGGGTCAGCACCTTGTTGCCCTCGGGGCAGTCCGGGAGGTAGGCCACCCGTGTGGTACCAGGATACCGAACTCCTGGGTTCGGGTGTTCAGCCTGAGAGGAAGAAGAGGCAGAGTAGGTAGAGGGCAGCTGGCTGCCTCAAAGGCCTGGATACCAGCGGAGGGTCATTCTGGCCCGCCTTATCGTGCATTCCCAACAGACAGCCTTCCAGGGAAAGATGGCTTTGAGGTCTGGGCAGGAAGCCTGTTTCTGAACATACTTCTTATTGTTAATCCCTCAAGTCTCAGTTCCGGAACACGTGGACTCTCAAAAGCGATGGAGATTGCTTCCCAGATAACTCAGCAAAAGTGTGACAAGAAAAGCGTATCTTTCAGCTTCCCTCCTCTCCTACAATGCTAATGCTCTGCCACTGCCTGCTTCTGCCTCTCCCCTTCAGTTTCTTTATCCCACTGCAAACAGCTGCACACAGCTCTGTCCAGCAGAAAGACACTCACCTGCAACCCTAGCCAAGCTTCTAGCGTCTCATACTCTGGACCAGAGCGGCACCCCAGCGGTTAGCATGGCCAGGTCCTGGTGTGCCTGCCCGTACCTGGGTCACCAACTCCAGACCTTCCCTCCACCGAGAATGTCAGTCATAGCCACATGAGTCAGGTTATTAGTGTCCAAGCCTTTCTGCCAGACCTGACTTTAAGGTTTTTTTTTTCCTTGTTTGATTTGGTTTTCTTGGGGGCCAGGGATTGAAATCAGGGGTCCCCCAATGATAGACAGGTGCTCTACCACTACATTCTAGCCCTCATTCTTGAGTTTTACATGTGCCTTTGGGTCATGATGGTAAAAAAACAAAACATGGCTTCAGGGAGACAGCCCCTTCCTCCCCAGCTCTAGAGCACCAATTCCTAAAGCATGCTGGGAGACAGCAAGAGTGTGTCATGTCTGACGACATACTCCCCACATAACCTATTTTTCTTAGGTCAGAAAGTAAACTCGGAGAGAACCAATGGGCAGGGAGAGCTGTGCTCTTCTTACCCCCTGGACACCGGGCGGGAAGACATACTGGATGACAATGGTGCCGTACTTCTCATAGCTGGGTAGCAGGAGGGTGGCGTCCTTGGAGACCAGCATCCGCCCATTCTGCGGCTGGTTGCCCACCAGCTGCCCGTAGAATCGGCCACACATGGGGCAGGCCTTTTTAACCTGCAGGGCCCGTGTGATGCAGCCCTCACAGAACGAGTGCCGGCACTTCTCCAATGTCTTGGCATTCTGGATCTCCCCCAGGCAGATGGGGCAGGTGCTTTCCTGTTCTTCAGCCTCCTCCCTCAGACGAGGAGGGAGTGGGGGAGGCAGGGGGGAAGGGGGAGGGGGGAGCCCTCTTGCCCCTGGGGGCAGGAGTGGGGCTGCTCGAAGAGGGGGTGGGCCTGGGCGGTGCAGCTCAGGGTGCTCCCCACCGCCCCCCAGAGCCAGGCAGCCCATGAGCTCCCCCTGCCTCTGAGCCTTCTTCAGCTCCTTCTCCGCCTCTTTCAGTAACCCCTTGAGAGCCTTGCGGGCCAGGTAGAGCCCATTGGGAGGGGCTGGGGGAGGACCCTGTGGGGAGAGCTGGAGCACGTAGATGTCCGAGGTCTCGCCATCTATGAGGATGGACACTCGGTGCTCCTCCCGAAGCCGGGCCAGCCGGGCTGGGGTCTCCTTGCTCAGGAAGTCCCACACAGGCTTGGAGACAGTCACTTTGTTCTTGCAGGTGCCTCCACAGGCTGCCATTCTGGACAGGACGAACGACACTGCCCCAGGGTGAAAGGGACTCAGCGTGGGGAGTCCCCATTTGACACATACAAGTGCCTCCTACTCCAGGTTCCCTCCAAACCCCACATCATCACCTCCGGTGTTCCTCAAAGCCAACCCCCAACACCTGCTGGGGAACAAGCGTTTCCATATTGTATCATTATCTAAGCCAAGCACCAACCCTACTTGTTTCTTTCATTTGTCCCCTGACCCTCAACAACCTGCTCCTTCCCCTCAGGGTGGAAGGGAGACTTCCCACACCCACTTTTTGCTCACTTTGATCCGGAAGAGCTTAGGATTGGCATGCAGGCTCACTCCTTTTCCCTGCTGCTGGGAGACCTTTGGCCTGGTGGGATGAGAAAGAAAAGAAGTAAGAAATAGGTTCTCAACCCCCACAGTCCCCAACTCAGTAGCCTTTGAAACAGACAGGAGGCTGGAAAGTGGTCCCGGGCATGGGATTGGACTGAGGGTCCCTCGGGGTGCAGGTACCTGAAAAGACCATGGAGATGGTAACAGTCTCTCTACTTCCACATGGAGCTGGCCAGAGCTGGAGATGAAGAAGGCAGAGTTATGGTAGCATGTCCTCAGCCAGCCCAGAAACAAAACACTTGTATCTCCTCTCCTCCCCTGCAGAATTCCATGCCCAGCCTCTCGAAGTTGCTCAGGGAACTTCCTCAGGCTACCCCCCCACACCCCCAGTGCAGAGGGAGAGAGATCCTAGGTGCAGACAAAGGCCCGGGGATGAAGGTCGCACTTGACATCTCGCTCAGATTGATTACACTGACAGAAATATTTCCTGTTTCTCAACTCATTTCTCTAGTTCACATTCTCAAATAAGTCCCTGTTGTTGACGGGGACCTTTCCCTGACAGCGAAGTCTGTTAGGGATGCCAGCAAAGCGATAGCAGTGCCTGCAATAACAAAGTTCTCCTGGTCACCTTTAAACCCAGTGCCCGCAGAGCTGTTGTTAGCTCTTGGGTCTGCATTTAGGAGGGGCGGGGCTCAAGCAGGAGCTCAGCTAGAGGGACCCCACGTTTTCCCCCCTGAGTCCTGTCATACTCAGCCTCGGGGCTGTTCCCACAACACAAAGTGCAGGCTCAATTAGGAAGAGCGGGCCATTAACGTGACCTCAATTTCTTGACTCATCCAAAGAAGAAGCCGCTGTCCCTCTGTGCCTCCATCCTAGGGCCCTCAAGATGAAACTCTAGAGTCTCAGCCCGCATGGCCGGTGCACCGTGGCATGCCCCCACCCCGGCACAGAGGACCCAGGATCTCGGTGTCCTAGCTCCAAGCCCTGCTGGCACAGCACAGGGAGGCGGGGCCACAGTTTAGTCTGGTCTAGCATTCCTCTGGGGCAAAGCAGGCCGGACAGGAGCCCAGTGTCTCCCTCCGGACAGCGGCCTCAGGCAGGGATGGCGAGAAAGGGCCAGGGTCCCCTGGGGGGTGTACACCGAGGCACCCCACCCTCCTCCTCCCCCAGACCTGACCACCAGATCCATCCAACCCGAAACCAACTCCCGCATCCCTACTCGTGGAAGCCCCTGAGTCCCGCCGCTGGGTGAGGGCGTGTGTCCGCCTGACTGCGGTCCTCAGAACCCCCAAATGGAGGCCGAGGGCTGGAGGTGCCGGCAGGATGATGCTGGGCCCGGCCCGGACGGTGCCCGCTCGCAGCGCCGCGGGGCGAGCGCGCGTCGGGGGTCAAAGGCGGCGTAGGGGGCGTAGGGGCGCGGGGGGGCTTGCGAGGGTGCCGATCGGGCCTGGGGGGCACGCGGTGGGTGTGGGGGCGCCGGGCTCACCTACCTCCCGTCAGCGCCGCCATTGCCGGTCACATGACTGAGGCTGTTGCTGGGATGACGGTCCGGGCCTTAGCAACAAGGGGCGGGGGAAGACCCCGGGAAGGTGGCAGGGGATGCCGGGGCGCGGATGGAGGGGAAGGAGGGAGGGCAGCACCCCTCTCCCCTGGGCGGGTGATGGTCACCGTTTCCCTTGACCCCCCCCCTCCTGCTACCCTGGAGCCCCTGCCTCTCTGCCCCAAAACAAAAATGGAGGCGCAGATCCAGGCTTTGGAGGGAGGGGTGGCGTCATGTAAGCGAGGGTAGGACGTGAAATCCCTTAGAAACGCCACTCTTTTGACTTCCCCCCTCCTGGAGGAGCCCTCTCCCCCTCCTCTTCCCCAGCCAGCTGCGTGGCACCTATGGGAGCTGGTAGTGGATGGGTGCGTGAGCCAGTGCAGTGGGTGTATGGATTTGGAGGGGAGGGCAGTCTTTTTGAAATCTTAGGCTGTAAGAGCTTTAAAGAAAAAAAAACTGTTGCATGGGAAGAGTTTTGGTAAAAAAGGAAAACACTGGTACTACACAATAAACCCTGTGACTAAACTAATCCATCCCCTCCCTCCTGCTAGAGTGTTACCTCCGGTGACCCCCCAAGCCTGTTGCCAGATGGGGACGGGTGACTGACTAGCTTTCCTCAAATAGGGACATAGGTTGGTGCAGAATGCGAAGTGAATAGTTCCTAAAAAAAATAAAAAAATAAAAAAAAAGTGCTTGGAGTGTTGTTGCTGTCAAGTACGTGGCTCAAATAGAGTTAAAAATTCCCAAAGAAAAAAAAAAAAGCTCTGCCCTGCTTCTCACCAGAACAGTCTCCGCCTCCTGCAACTCACTTCCCCAGGGCCACATCAAGCCAGGTTTTTCCACCAGCCAAGACCTCAGCCAAGACATCCTGAGTCTCCCAGAGCGGCCGCAACCGCATCATCCCCCACCCGGCTCCCCGCCCCTCCCCCATGAACCGGAGGACTGGTCACTCCTTCACTTTCCCAGGACCCTGTTGTACTCCTCCTGCCCTCTAAGTAGATAGCTTTCCCAGGACGCCTGAATGAACGGAGAATTCCTTCCCAAATAGTTGTTGGGCTGAGAGGCTCACTTAAGTTAAGAGATGGAGTAGCCGAGCACTGGGGGAGGAGGGCATCCCACCTCTCCCTGGCCACCACCACTGCTGAATTCCCACAAAGCTGACGAATGTTTTCACTCCCATGCCCCCGCCCCACACCTATAAATCCACAGCCATCCTGGAAACCTCCCACACATACTCAGGAGCCCAACACCCTTAAGACCAGTATTCTTCAGTTGGTCTCTGCATCTTGTAAACACTGGATTCCTCAGCATTTTCCAAGGAAAACAAAAAACATTTCTGTGAACGATTTGGACCGAATAATTTATTTTATTGTGATATTGGGAGTAAGTACAGATTTTATTAATAAAACAAAAATGAAGGAAAACAGAAGCAATAAATGAAGATGACCGTACTGCCCATAATACACAACCTCGGGGTTGGAGAATCCAGTTCTAAGGAACTGCTGCTGGTGCCATGGGACTTTATTGCATCAACAGGGGAAAGGGGGACTGTGGGACAGAAGAGGCCCAGCGGGCAGGCCCCTCCCACCTCAGCTGGGCCTGCCTTTTGCCACTTCCTTTGGTGTAAATGTGAGAGGGGGGCTTCTCCCCAGGACCTCGTGGCTTTTTATGAGAGTGACTGGTCAGGCAAGTCACACAGCAAAGCAGCTTTGTGCCCTCACTGCCCACCCCCCACCCCCAGGGCATGGAGGTCTAAAGGGGAACAGAACACCAACAATGCCCGTCTTGGTTCCAAAGGCTCTGGGCAGAGACAAGACTGTCTATCTCACAGTAGAATCTTGTTTTCCCAGATAGGCTCAAGTGTCCTTGGCTGGCCTCAAACTTGCTATGGAACTGAGGGTGACCTTGAATACCTGATCCCCCTTTGCCTTCCTTTCCCAAGTGCTGGGATTATAGGTGTGACCACCACACCTGGTTTGGATGGCGATGGGATGGAACCCAGAGCTTTGTACATGCTAGGCAAGCACTCTATCAACTGAGCTATCATCTCCAGTGCTCAAACCCATACCTTCTTTGAGTTTTCCTGAGACCATGTCTTACTCTGCAGCCCAGGCTGTTCAAGCTGGCCTTGAACTGTCACTGACTCTGCTGCAGACTCCTTGAGTACTGGGTTTTACAGGCATTAGCTGCTGTGCAAGTTCCTCTACATTCTAAGGGTATCACGCATGAACTCGGCTATCTTTGGAAGGGACTGGGTGAGTGAGTTATGGCTCTGACTCCTCTCTGGGGGTGGGAAGTGAAGATGACAGAGAAGGCCATCTGTCCCCTGGGAGACACATTAGCAGTGAAAGATGGGACAGAAGGGAACAGAATAACAAATCCAACTAGAAAAAGTGTTTGAGAAGAGGGGGAGGCTGTGTTCTGGGGGGACGTTCCCACACTCAAGGCCTCTATCCTCTTGAAGTTATGGAAACTGAGACACATGGAGCTCTTCCCTTGGCTAGAAAGGGACCTTGGGCTTTACTGGATAGGAAGACAGGAAATTTCACACAGGGAATGAACCTTGCACTCCGACCTGTCCTTCCAGGCTCCATTGCTCCCCTCCCTTCCCCAGCTAAAGGGTTCCGGAGAGGTGCAGCAGCAGAGGCCTCACACCTGCCCCTAGGCTTGGACAGTTCTAGCTGTGTTGGGGTTCCTGATCCAGAAGTACTCATGGCTACGTATCAGGGTGGGGTGGGGTGGGGTGGGGTGGGGTGGGTGGAGGAAGAGAATGGACAACAGTCAATGTTTGACAGGGACCTTCTCCATTCTCTGCATAGTCACAAAAGTCCGCTTGGGTCCTGCCTCTGTGAGGTGCCAGCCCGCTGACTGTCCATGCATGAATGCCTGCACCCACACTAGAGTCTCCTGAGAGGCCCTCCATTCCAGGGCCTTCAGGAAGAAAAGACTGCCACAAAGAGCCCTACAAAGGTATCAGTGAAATCCAGACACTGTTTCTTCCATACAGCAAAGTGCATCCAAGGTAGCTGCTTGAACCACGTCAGGTCCCGAAGATGGCAAGCAACCCCTACCCCCAGCTCCTCTTATTTCATAGAAACAAGGTATTTTTCAAAGATCAAGGCACTTGGGAGTCAACAACAGCACTCTAATGAAACAAGAGGGCTTACTGGGAGCGGGGAGAACGGGCAGAAAAACGGATGTGGGGAGAAAGGATAGTGTGTTTCTTGGGCAGGAAAAGCCTAACCACCAAGATGGAATGATCTGGATGGAAGGAGCCTGCAGCCTGAATTTAGCAAGGAAGAGAAGTAGTGGCCACATCCAGTTCCCCTAAGACTTTCAGAACCACCACCTTCAACATAAAGCGGCAATCACCAGGGAGTCAGGCAGCCTCTTAGGCAAAGATGTTGGCAATGAAATCCAGGAATCTCTTAGCATACTGCTCAGGATGGACAGTTGAGATCTCTGCTCCCGCCTGTGAGAATGGACAGGGGACAATGTGTGAGGAGCCCTGGCACCTTTCCTCCCTCAGCCACCCAGCTGTTCTCTTTCCAGAGGGTCAGGCCAGGAAAGGAAAGGCTGTGGGGGAACTCTCACCCCATGCTTGACGGTTTTGGCTGCATGAGCCGCTTTCTTCTTGGCATCGTACTGTGTCAGAATGTCAATGAGGCCCATAAAATACACCTCCTTCTGGGGGGCCCCTGGGGAGAGAGACTAACAATGACGACAGGGTACACACAGTTCCAGTTCCTTTCCCCTGGAGTCAGTTTTGTTGTGACAAGCTAATCAGCTTCTCCATCCACCACCCTGGTCTCTGTCCCCCAAGGATGCCCACCACCCCTTAACATTCCCGGTTCTCTCTCACCCTCAGCACTCCGGATGGCATAGACATCGATGAAGGACTCAAACTCTCCTGGGCCCAGGGGCCGGTGGGAATGAATGTAGCCTCCAATGCCCTCAGGGGAGGTGCCATAGGAGCCCACCAGAGCAGGAGGTCCGGCCAGGTTACAGTCCCCATCCCACTCTGACTCGTCCTCCCGTACGGGCCCCTCTTCCTCCGGCTCAGAGCCCCGGATGATGTCGTGGATGCCCAGCAGAAGGCTGTAGTCCATGATCTTCAGCTGCACTAGGAACTGAAACCCACTGACACATCAGAGACCCCGGTCTCCCACCCAGCTCCAGCGTCCACCCTATGCCTCCTTCCGTGAGTTTCTGGCCCTCCTGGGGGAAAGGAGCACATAAACTGAGGTTACGGCACTGCCAGGGGTTAGCGCCCCAGTCCTGGAGTCTGACAGCACCCTCTGACCCCTCCTAGCCAGTGCCCATCCCACTCCCTACCCCACCCCACCAATGGGCCTAGGGGTTTCTCCTGTTTCACCCCAACCTTCCACTCAGCGAACCCCAAAAATAAAGGCAAGAAAATTCTCATATCACAAATGGAAGGCAAAAAAGCAAAAAAATTTTAAAGATAGGCATTTCTTCCTTTATTGCACAAGGCACTTCTGGGCACCCCATTGTTACCTCCACATCTCGCTTCAGCTTCTCCAGAAATACTTTCTTCTCTTCCTCACCAATATACACTTTCTGGTTCTTGTTGAGGAAGTCCATATCCTTAAGTGTCGGCAGCTCTTTAACCTAGAGTCGGGAAAAGAATGCCTTGGGAATCACCCTCACCCAAGGCCTCAGAGAGCCCTTCGTGCATGCAAGCCTCTCTACTCAGAGGCTTGAAGAGAGCAGCAGCCCCACGGTTACTTTGGGTCTGGACTCAGCAGCTGCATTTCATTTGGTGCCCACCGCTACCTCCTTATGGACTGCAGTCAATACCCTTCACACTGACTTCCTCCTTCTTCAGTGAAAACAGCTACTTGAATGCGACTTCAGAATGCCATGTGGAAAATGAGCACTCTGCTCTTCACGCCTGGCCTGCCCATCTTTCCCGAACCTTCAACACAGCAGAACCAGTGCTAACAAGATGCTAACAGCCACTCTGCTGCTCCCCCACACCAGTAGTTTTTGTTATGTTTTCTTTTTAGTAGTTTAAGGTAAGAAACATCTGCAATCTGTATCCATTATGGAGAACTGTTTCTTTATCCCTAGAAATCCCTTTGTCAAGACCCCTGTTCCTGCCCAATCCCTTACAGCATCGCCTAAAAGGACTATTACCTTTTCCTTATCACTGGCTTCCCGGGACACGAGAGAGCCCTGTAGAGAGATCAAAGACTAAGTCAGAAGAAATAACAGGGCCAGCCGGAAGCCCAGTTCCAAAGATGAACAGTCAAATCTACACCTCTCCTGTAACAGCAGTCACCTGCCCTCCCAAGCCTTCCCACACACACAGGCCAGGAGCAGCCTTCCCTTTAGCCCAGGTCACCCTGCTCTTACCTTGAGGTCATACTTCCTATGCACAGGAAGACGATGACTAAACATATTTCGCATGACAAGCATGTAACTGTCTTCGTTTTCTACGCTGACTCGGTACATGCCCAGGAACTGGGGCAGAAGCGTGTTGCCATGACACTTGACTATATACTGGGGAAGACAATGACAGGAAGGAGTAAGAGAAGGATGGCAGGCACAGCAGTCCAAGTGCTGCTACTCCAGAGTCAGGCAGGAACCCTCAAGCACAAAGGATGCAAAGCCAAGGGGTGGCAGGTCTCTAGAAGTGCTCCTGTCACCAGCTGCTCGGTCTCTTAATTTTAAAGTACTTTTCTCACCCGCGTCAGTCATTCCTTTGTTTGACACTGAGTCTCACATGGCTGGGGTGGGTCTTCAACTCCTGATCTCTCTGTCTCTAGCTTCTGACTGTCAGGCTACCCTTGTCACTTTTCAAGATGAGGAAGGTAGGTATTGTTATTCTTACTTTAGACTGTGCAAATAAAGTCACAGAACCAGAGTTAAACTTAGATTTACTTACCAATGAAATGACTGTTTCTTGATAGTATAAATGACTACAAGGAGACCTACAATTAATTAATTTGGATTGTTTTGTTTGTTTGTTTTTTTTTTTGTTTTTACGAGACAGGGTTTCTCTGTATTGTTTCGGAGGCTATCGGTCCAGCCCGGCCTCGAACTCACAGAGATCTGCCTGCCTCTGCCTCCCGAGTGCTGGGATTAAAGGCATGCGCCACCACCGCCCGGCTGTTTTGTTTTTTAAAATAAAGATTTATTATTTATTTTTTCTATTTTTTAATAGGGTTTCTCTGCATACCCTGACTGATGGGGAAGTCCTGTGTATGTCAATAAAGCACTGTTGGCCAATAGGGAAGCAAGATAGGTGGACTAGGAGTCCAAGAGGACTCTGGGTAAGAGAAACACAGGGAGTCATCATGTAGCCCGCCAGAGAAGTAAGATGTCCGTCCAGTAAGAGAAATACTTAGATTAACAATTGCGGGATAAATACTTAAGTCAGAGCTAGCCAGTAAGAAACAAGCAAGGCCAACAGCTTCATAATTAATACAGCGTCTTGTGTGTTATTTGGGGACTACAATGCAGCAGAGCCCAGGCAACTGGTGGGGAAAAACCAAAGCGGCTGGCGGGGAAAAGGGTTCACTCTACACCTGACTATCCTGGAACTCTATCTGCAGACCAAGCTGGCCTCAAACTCACATATCTACCTTGAACTCAAAGATGCTAAGATTAAAGGAAGGCACTACTACAGCCTTATTTTTTATGTATGTGTCTGTGAGAACGCCCCTGGAGGCCAGAGCATCCCTTGGAACTAGAGTTACAGACATGAGTCACTGACATCAGCCTAACTTAGGTCCTCTGGGCAAACAGGAAGTGCTCTTCCCCACTCAGCCATCTCTCTAGCACTGCCCTATTTTGTTTTCTAAGTCAGATGTCACCAGCCTGGCTCCAAGTAAAGCTGACCTTAAACACTGGGAGTCGAGAGATGGATCTTCCAGAAGACCTGGATTCGATTCCTAGCACCCACACAGTGGATCACAGTTCCTGTAACTCCAGTTCCAGGGGATCTGATGTTCTATTCTGGCCTCCAAGGGCACCAGGCACATGCATGATCCACAGACATACATGCAGGCAGAACACCTGTACACACAGTTTTACCAATAAACAAATAAAAGTAGAAATAAGCCCTTATTCATGGAAATACTCTAAATCACTGAAATCTGATTTCAACCCTCAACTCCTTAGTTGTCAAATCTGGTGGGGACTGTAGCCACTGAATTATTTCTACTATGCACTTGACCCTTCCGACAATCTCGCCTTTCACCCACTACGCTCACCTCTGATGTCCTCCTGTCCCTTATCCTTCATGGATGTACTCTGGGCATTAGTAATCCAAACTGCCAGTCCACAATGAGTCTCCTTCCTGGGTGCTTTACTTGCCCTGAAAGTTTGTATCTTACTTTATTATATTCTTTCTCTCTCTCTCTTTATCTATCCATCCATCCATCTATCTATCTATCTTTTTGGTTTTCTTTTTTTTTAATATTTTATTTATTTATTGTGTATACAGTCTTCTGCCTGCATGCCAGCGGAGAGCACCAGATCTCATTCAAGGTGGTTGTGAGCCACCATGTGGTTGCCGGGAATTGAACTCAGGACCTCTGGAAGAACAGTCAGTGCTCTTAACCTCTGAGCCATCTCTCCAGCCCCTCTTTTTGGTTTTCAAGACAGGATTTCTCTGTGTAGCCCTGGCTGTCCTGGAGCTCTGTAGACCAGGCTGTCCCTGGAACTCAGAGATCCGCCTGCCTCTGCCTCCTGAGTGCTGGGATTAAAGGTGTGCGCCACTACACCTGGCTAAAATTTGTATTTTTAAGAAATTTTTTTTGTTGTTGCTTATTTGTGTGTGTGTGTGTGTCTTCATATTCTTCCTGTCAAATCCACAGTGATTTTTAAGTGGCAATAGATGGGTTTTAATGAGCACTTACTGATGTAGAACTCCTAGAGTGACACTCCTAGTCTACTCTCTCCTTAGTCTCTGCCCACACCCAGTCATCTCACGGACATCTGAAATCGAGAGGAACTGCAGAAGCCATGTTCCAATCGCGCTATCTTCCTCCAGGAGCCTGTTCCTTTTTCTGTTTCCCGGTTGTAGACAAGGGTGCCAAGCACTCGGAGGCTCCTTTGCCTTAACTGCATAGTGTCCTCACAGGTCCTTCATGTCTCCTGCGTTCTCTCCAGACTAAAATGGGTACCCTCCTCAGTGTGCCCCTCTCCAGTCTACTTCTTACTACTGAAATGGGTACCCTCCTCAGTGTGCCCCTCTCCAGTCTATCTCTCCAGACTACTGAAATGGGTACCCTCCTCAGTGTGCCCCTCTCCAGTCTATCTCTCCAGACTACTGAAATGGGTACCCTCCTCAGTGTGCCCCTCTCCAGTCTATCTCTCCAGACTACTGAAATGGGTACCCTCCTCAGTGTGCCCCTCTCCAGTCTACTTCTTACTACTGAAATGGGTACCCTCCTCAGTGTGCCCCTCTCCAGTCTACTTCTTACATGCTGTCAGAGAGACAAGACATCTTTTCTCTCTTCTGCTTATGGTTCTGACGACAGAACGCAGGGCCTCACCCATGCTAGGTATGAGCTGTATGTCCAATCCTTCATTTCTAAATGGTCTACATTCTAGTTCCCTGAAAACTACCTCACGATAAAGGCCAGATTTCTCTTTGATTCACAGGCCCTTTTATAATTCGGCTCCAGCTTAGTTTTCCTAGTACCGCACATCCCAGCCACGCTAGGATTCTTGCAATCTCCTAACACTTTTCATGGTTTTGTGCATTAACACACACCATCTCCCTTTGCCTAGAATGCCCTCTGCCACCTGTCCAACGAGTAACCTCTAACCACTCAAAACCCAGTGGCTCTGCGGCTACAAGTGCTTTTGTCTAACCCTGTCTAAGTCGATCCCTGGAACCCCAGATGATAAACAGAGAAGATCAACTCCCTGGAGCTATCTGACCTCCACAAGTACAGTGTGGCATGCATGCGCCCCCCAGTAAATAAACAAATGCAAAACACATATATATTGTGGTTTATCGAGACAGGGTTTCTCCGTGAAGCCCTGGCTGTACTGGAACTCACTCTGTAGACCAGGCTGGCTTCAAACTCACAGATCCAACTGCCCCTGCCTCCCGAGTGCCAGGGTTAAAGGTGTGCACCACCACACCCAGCTTAAAAAATTTTTTTTTGTTTTACTTTTTGTCTGTTTGTTTTTCGAGACAGGGTTTCTCTGTTTAGTTTTGGAGTCTATCCTGGCTCTGTAGAATAGGCTGCTCTCGAACTCACAGAGATCCACCTGCCTCTGCCTCTTGAGTGCTGGGATTAAAGACGTGCACCACCAATGCCCGGCCAAAATAAAAATTTTAATAAAAAAAATCAGAGACTAGGGCAATGCTTCAGCAGTTAAGCACACTGGCTGCTCTTGCAGAGGGCCTGGTTAATTCCCAGAACTTATTATGGCAGCTCACCACTGTCTATAACTACAGTTCCAGCGTATCTGACACCCTCTTCAGGTCTCCGAGGGCACCAGGTACACACACTGTGTATCCACATACACGAAGGCAAAATACCCATAAACATAAAAGAATAATAAACTGAAAAGGAATCAATCCCCGGGGCCAGTGAGTACAAGCACTTCCACCACCATGGTAACATGAGTTTGATCCCTGGAACCCACACGGTGGAAGGAAAGACGGCCAACTCGACAGCATCATCCTCTGACCTCCAAGCTCAAGCACACAAACAAAGAAACAGTGGTTTTCAGCCTGGACTACCAAGCGAGTTCCAGGACAGCCTCCAAAGCCACAGAGAAACCCTGTCTCGAAAAACCAAAAAAAAAAAAACCAAACAAACAAAAAAAAGAAACAGTGGTTTTAGGTGGTGGGTGCCAAGTGGGAAGGGACACATGACGTTTTCCTATGAAGTCAAACGCTAAAACGCTAGCAGGCATGCAGAGACCCTTTTAGTGCTTCTGGGGAAGAGACACGGCTCACAGGGAGAGAAAGAACAGGAGACCTCTGTCATCTGTGTGGGTAGGGAGGGGACAGACGGGCTGGAGAGGCCTGACCTGGTGATAGTTGGAGAGGTTGCTATGCATGTCGGCAATGTCCTCACTGGACACCTCTTTGATAACAAGAGTTCGATCATAGGAGATGAGAAACCGACCATCGCTGCCTTCAGTTTCGCTTGGGGGGCTTCGAGTAAGGGATACCTGGAGACAAAGAACGGGCTGTGAACACATGGACCTTGAGTTATATGAAGACAGGAGGGTAATGGCCAAACAACCGCTTCTCTGAGTGCGTGAAACTGCGATAGAGGCTTGAGATGGCTCCGGGAAACGCGTGTGCTCCCAAGCCTGATGCTGTGCAACAAGATGGCCCGAGTTAAATCCCTAGGACTCACAGGGTAGAAGAAAACAACCAATTCCAGAAAGGTTTCCTCCGATTCCCACATACAAACATTCACTAAAGGTACACACAACCACAATAAATAATTAAGATGCAATAAATTCTGGGGTTAGAAATGCAACAGGGGTTCCTAATTTGGTTACCACACATGACTGAATGAAGCTCAATGTAAAATTTTAATATATACATACATACATACAGATCCTGCTTCCCCCAGAACAGCTCCATTAGTCTCATTACATTTTCAAAGATGCCCATGACCACCAGCACTCTCATGCGCGCGCGCACACACACACACACACACACACACACACACACACACACACACAAAGACAGCATTAACCAAGGCTCTCAGTTTTCTAAACCTAATTGTCTAACAGACCCCCTAGCTGCCAGGGACTACCCTCACCCCACAATAGCCTCTCACCAAGTAATCCTGATCGTCAATGCCGAATCGATCACGGAGGTTCCTGAAGACCTGGGGACAATATTCCTTGAACTTGAAATGACTGGGAAGATTTTCTCTGAAACACAGGTTTTCAACCATTATACTATTGCCTGATATAATTCTCACAGAACCCTGTGAAGTATTTAGTTAGTTTGCTGTTGCCTTTGTTTGGGTAGAGTATGTGCTCAAGTGTGTGTATGTGTGGTGCATACACACATGCACACCAGCGTGCTCAATATGGAGGCCAGAAGACAGTGTCCAGTGTCTTCCTCTATTGCTCCCCTCCCCCACCTTATTGCTTTGAGACTGAACCCAAAGCCCAGCAGTTTTTTGGTGGGGGGGGGGTTGAGACAGGGTTTCTCTGTGTAGCCCTGGCTGTCCTGGAACTCACTCTGTAGACCCAGCTGGCCTGGAACTCACAGAGATCCACCTGCCTCTGTCTCTCAAGTGCTGGGATTAAGGACATGTGCCACCACCGCCCAGCTAGCCACCATTTCTTGTAGGCTGTCTGACCAGCAGGTTCCCAGGGCCCGCTTCCCTCTGCCTCTGCCAGTGCTGGGCAAATAGGAGCGCACAGCCACGCCCAGCGTTTCCAGCCTGAGAAGGGTGGATCCTGGTCTCAGTGCAAGTGCTATCTGCTGTGAGCAATCTCCCCAGCCCACTTTACTTGTTGCTGCTGTTTTGGTTTTTTTCAGCTTGGGATTGGCCTCAAAAATGTATGCAGCAGAGGCTGGCCTTGGGTCCTGATGTTCCACCTCATCCCCTCATCTCTCACCACGATGGGCTCCGTGAAGCACTTTAAAAGACAGACGGGTGACCTGCCTAAGTCAGGTCACATGGCTGGTAGATGGTGTAAGAAAAGCAGGGGCTTAGTGTGCATCCACACGGGAGCATTTCTTAAATCTGCAGCTCAGTAGAAATATCCTAAAACTGGCAGTATTTCCTGACAGTTTGAATGGCATCATCTAAAGGGGGTTAGAGGCCTCAGTCATTTTTCAGAAATCCTCACCGGAAGGTAATGATAGAGGCACCTGAATCTGGAATATTTACTCGTTGATGGAGCAACAAGAAGATAACAGGCTGTGCATACAATGTTTACATGTTTAAAATTTTAAGTTAATTAATTTATCTATTGGTTATTTTTGAGACAGACTCTCTCTATGTAGTCCTGGTTACCCTGTAGCTCAGCTACTTATTTACTCTGTGTGTGTGTGTGTGTGTGTGTGTGTGTGTGTGTGTGTGTGTGTGTGTGTGTGTCCTAGAGACTGATTTCAAGTTGTCTGGCTTTTAGAGCCTTTACCTGCTGAGGCATCTGTTAGCCTTTAGACATTTGTTTTTTCAAAAACTGAATTTTTGCTTTAGAATGGATGTGAGATCATAAAACTTGTAAATTGACTTTTAACCTAAAACCTTCAAGTCATTTAACATTTTTAAACTACTTGCTGTCTTCCATCTCTTTTTCTTTATTTTTTGAGAAAGGGTCTCACTGTGTTGCCCTGGCTGGACTCACAGAGACCCACCTGCCTTTTTCTCCTAGGTGCTGAGATTAAAGGTGTGGTCCAGCCAGGCCGGGGCCTGTTTCTTTTTCCTTCTTTAGACGTCTAGTTTGTGTGAGTGTGGGTTTGTGTATGGAGGTCAGAGGACACCCTGTGAGTCAGCTCTCTCACTCTCCCCGCACTGAGCCCCCACCCCAGCCTGAGAAGGGTGAAGACTGCTCACCTGTGGAAGAGGTGATTGTTGACCTTGATCTTGGAACTAGCCTTAAAGTCATCTGGCAACAGCATCACTGGAGGGGGCACCTGGCTGAGCTCATTGATCTGAGGAAGCAGAGCACAAGGAGGCCATGAAACACAGAGCCCAAGCCGGAATCAAGAAAGAGCAAGTCAAGCCTCATTCCTCAACAACATCGGCGGCAGATCATCTGCAAGTACCCTACCCATCTGCTGCCCAAGAACTGATGTCAGCCACCCTTACACGGCTCCTCACACTCCCACCCCATGGAACTTCATGCTCACAACAGCCACTTTATATCTGGCAAGCCCTGCAAGCAATCCGGCCTATTTTTAAAGCTGTGAGAAATCCAGAAAAAAAAAAATGAAGGGAATAAAACAAAACAAAACAAAAAAACCAAAAAACCCAAGACAGTTACATGCTTCGTTAGGGGGAAAGAAAAGACATTTTTAAAGTGCAGAAGGTTAATGGGACTGGGGGGGGGCTCAAAAGCAATAGGGAATGAAATGTCCGTATACCCCGAGTAACTCCTTACAAAGGACAATTCCAGATCATTTTGACCCAGATCTTGGCAGTAGGGCCCACCGACCTAGGCAGAAAGTCAAAGAAGAACAGCTGATCTCTGAGGAAACTAACACCTCCTCATACACTCACCAGATGTCTGCCCTCAGTGCAAGTCAACTAAGAACAGGAGGGACATGGGCAGTATACACACTCCTTGGTCCTCAAGACTTGCAGCTCATTAATTCAGGGTACAATTCTATTCACTTCTCCTCCTTGGTGTTACTATGCCCCCCTTTACCTCCCCAGCTTCTATTAAATCTGTCCCCTAGCTCTGGGCTCTTCAAGGGCAAGGGTCCACTCTAACACAGTCTTTCAGAGGCTTAGCACAGTGTCTGGCACACAGCGCTCCCCAACTGTTTATTAGATGGCTAGACGGACGTCTCATCCGTCCTTGTGTGATCATTACTAAACAAAGGCCACACTCTAACCTAAATCCCGCATGCCGCAGTGCCTGCAACTGCTCTTGTCCTCAGGAGAAAGGAGGACGAAACATATTCCTCCAGAAAGAAAAAAAAAAGCCACTTGAGATTCCCAGCCTAAAGTCAGCTACAGCTCTTCCCGCCCCCTCCTCGACACCTGCTAAGCAGGCTGAATCATTGCTAAGGCATATGTTCAAGGAATTTCTCTGTTCTGCACACTTAAGGTCCCTGTGTGCTGACTGGGAAGTGGGGCGTTGAAGTTAAAGTGTTTTACCTAAAGAGCTTGAGGTGAGTCTTACAGGTAATGCCTCCAATCCTTACCCAAGGAAAACCCTCTCCTGTGTGCGTGCCCCAGGGATGGGTAAGTCGCCTGGAAGATACTTCCAGTGAGGCAGTCCTACCTCCACGACCGGTGCCTCAGATGGAACACTCACTAAAGAGGTCACCGCCGAGAGAGCAGCAAAGGCAAAAGGGAGTGAGCTAACTGACCACCAGTGATGTTCCAATTACAGACTTAAAAGTGCGACATTCTTCCTTGCCCTCTTACACCTCCATAACCATAGCAGGACTACCTCACAAAGAAGTCGATAACCAAAATAGTCCCCATCAAGCTGAAGACCACCACATCCCTCCAACTCCTGACCTGAAGGAGAAGCCAGCCATGCATCACTCGCTTTGGCTCCTCCAAGACACACACTCAGGAAAGGAGGTACGCTGGGCTCATCCGCCGCCTCCTGCCTCCCAACCTGCACCCTTTGGAGCCCTTTTCCGGCTTCCAAAGCTCACAAATAATGTCCTGGGACCACAGCTCTTCGGCCTTTTCCTTGGTTACAATATGCTCCATTTACACCAAACACCATCACTCCCGCCAACAATGGGGATACAGCTAAGACCAAATGCATTAGGTCCCCGAGGGTCAGAGTTGGGCAGCTTCCCTGAAATGCTGTGTCTTGGGAAAAGGCAAGCAGGGTTAGAAGATCAAAACCCCCCCAAAAGGCTAGAGCTGTCCCCAGACAAAGCCGAGGCTCGAAAGCCAAGGACTGAGGCTCGAGAGCAAGGTGGAGAGGAAACCGAACTGCCTCCTTGGCCAGGCAGTGGCATCCAACACCCCTTTAGAGCCACTCCCCTTAGTGTCCCTCTGGCTGGAGCCGGATTCTGGCCAGTCCCTGTAGCCGGAGGGTGGACCCGGCAGGAAGGAGTGCAAGGAACAGAGCTGGATTTCAGGTGGAGAAGATGGAACTCTAGGGGAGGAGTAAAGGACAGAGAGAGCGACAAGAGTCTACCCGGGGGACGGTGCGCCGGGAGCCAGGCCGGGGCCGGGGCGGGGGCGGGGGCGGGGGCAGGGGCGGCAGCGCACGGAGCTGGAGCCCGGGGACCCGCAGGTCGAGGGGTACGGGGCCCGCTCTTACCGAGTGGGCGACACCCCACAGGAACACGCCCACCAGCGGGTCGGCGGCCCGGAACACCTTCACTTTCTGCTGCACGAAATGCTTCTTCTTGGTTTTGGAGGCAAAGCCGAACCCCGGCCCGGGGCCTCCGGCTGCCGCGGGTGCGCTGGCGGGGGGGACGGAGGAGGACGCCATAGTCTCCCGCGCACCCGGGGGGAGCGGGAGCCGGCCGCGACTCCCAAGCCCGACCCGGAAGCGCTGCTCACCTGCGCCGCCGTCACGTGACCGGAGACTCGCCCGCAGGCGCGCGAGCGGGGCGGGGCGGGGCGGGGCCGGCGCGGCTGTGGCTCCGCCCCTCCGGGGCCGCGCTGGGTTGTCACCTGGCGCGGGTGCTCCCAGTGATGCGGGGTGTCTCGGCCCTCCCTGGCGCTGTGCGGGGCGCCGCTCCTTCCCTTTCCGGTTCTGTCCAGTTTCTAGTGGGTAAGGTCCGCCCTGAGACTGCGCTTTTTTTGTGAGACGGGGTCTCCTTTGCTTTGTGCAGACTGGCTTCAAACTTGCTATCCCCCTGTCCCATCCTCATACCAAGGGTGGGTGTTAGGGAGGTGTGGGTTGATCCTCCATGAAGCTAGGGTTGCGAAAGAATGGACACGGCAAGTCTAAATATCTATTTTAAAGTTGTTTTATGTATACAGGTGTTTGACTGGCACTATGTTAGTGCAGTGCTTGTGAATGCCAGGGGAAGGCTTCGGATCCTTCTAGAACTGGTGTTGTGGATGGCTGTGAGCCACCATGTGGTTCGCTGGGAATCAAACCTAGTCCTCTGGAAGAGTAGCCAGTGCTCTTAACCGCTGAGTCATTTCTTCATCTCCTGGAAATCTGAAGTTTGTACTCATGACCCCAAGTGTCTTGAATTTGTTCATGTCTGTTGAACAAGTGTGTACTGAGGACTTGAGAACCCACTACTGTTCTTCAGGCTGGTGCTCTGATTGAAGGAGAGGAAAATTCAACCCTAGAGGAATTAAAAATTTAAAGACACTGACTAGCCAGGAAAAGGTTGCAGCATTAAGAGCTAGCAACGGGCTGGGTGTTGGTGGCGCACGCCTTTAATCCCAGCACTCGGGAGGCAGAGGCAGGCGGATCTCTGTGAGTTCGAGGCCAGCCTGGTCTACAAGAGCTAGTTCCAGGACAGCCTCCAAAGCCATAGAGAAACCCTGTCTCGAAAAACCAAAAAAAAAAAAAAAAAAAAAAGAGCTAGCGACGGCTGGGTGGTGGTGGTGGTGCGTGCCTTTATCCCAGCAGAGGCAGGCGGGATCTCTGTGGATTTGAAACCAGCCTGGTCTACAGGAGCTAGTTAAAAAAGAGCTAGGGATAGTGCTAAAACTGTGCTCGGGGCAGTGCTAATCACAAGGAAGGAACATGTAATTGGTCAGGGAGCTTCCAAGAGGATCGAGGCATAGAAAGCAAAGCTCGAGCTGGGTCATGGTGGCGCACATCTTTAATCCTGGCACTAGGGAAGTAGAGGCAGGTGGATAGCAGTGAGTTCAAGGCCAGCCTGGTCTACAGAGTGAGTTTCAGGACAGCCAGAACTGTTACACAAAGAAACATTGTCTCAAAAAAAAAAAAAAAAAAAGCTTCCCAGGCAGAGAGCAGACACAAAGTGAAGACCAAAAGTGAAGACCAAAACCACCGGAGTTTGTGGGGTTGCCCGCTGTAAAGTGGCTCTGAGACAGACCCAGACATAAGGTTAGAGACGGCAGGTGGGCACTGGAGACCCTTGGTGTCGTGCGCTGCTGGTGTGTATATTAGGATGACTTAGATGTTCCGGTGGATGACCAGTGTTGCAAAACTCCGTGCACTGATGGCGACCTAAAGCAGCGTGAGGAGGGAATGGTGTCTACAGACACGCAGGTTGAGGCTGGAAGTGTCGCTGGGTAACAGCGTTTGCCTAGCATGGGCAAGACCACAACAGATAAAGACGCACAGGGATGAATAAACATAGCTCAAGGTCATTTTGGAAAATTCCTTGAGAATATGAGACTTGAAGGGAGGGGAATGTGGAGAGAGTCCCAGGCTGTAGTTACACTGAGAGGCTGTGTGTGAGAAAGAAAGATGGCGGCTGGACATAGGGGCCCAAATTGTCACAGAGTAATCTTCAGTGGGGTACAGACTTGAGGAATGTTGTGGAATCTGAGAGCAGAGCACAGTGACAGAGCATCATTTAGGAGGCTGATAAGAGTGGCAAGATGCTTCTGTGGGTAGAGGCGCTTGCCACCGAGCCTGACAACCCACGTTCCACCACCAGAACCTCCATGATGGAAGGAGAGAACCAACTTCCGCAGGCTGTCCTCTGACCTCCACACATGTGCCTACCCACACGTGCATGCACACATACACAATAAATAGGTGTGACTTTTAAGTTAAAACGGGGCTGGAGAGATGGCTCGGCAGTTAAGAGCACTGACTGCTCTTCCAGAGGACCTGGGTTCAATTCCTAACCTCCACACAGCTGACTCACAACCACCCTGGTTGACAGGAACCTTTAACAGCTTGGTCTGGAAGCCTGACTGGTGGTGTGGGATGAAAAAATGACAGACACTGCAGAATAGGTGTTGCAGTTTTCAAAGAGCAGCACAAGAGGGAAAGACACCATGCAACAGGGTTCAAGTGGAGGGTTTTTTAATTAGGGGAAAAGGATCATAAAAAGGGGAAGGGGAGGAGGGAGACCAGCTTCTGGGGTCTGGAGCAGCAGGAGAGATGAAAGAGGCAGGCAGGGAGAGAGAGGGGGAGAGAAGGATGGGAGGTGGGCAGGGCCCTTTTAAAAGGGAACATAGTGAATGTGCACAGGTGGTGCTCTTAGTGGCTGCAGCTGAGGGCGCATCCTGTCAGGACCCCAAGGACAGGCCAATACAGATGCCTGAATACTAACAATGCAAAGAAAAACTAGGATCAGGTGTGCTGTGCATATGCCGATGGAAACAACTCAGAAACATGTGCTACAGAAAGGGCAGGGGCTAGCCAGTCCCAGGAGCAGGAAGCTGCAGCTGCTAATTTTTGCACACATTGGTCTGTACGTTGTAAACACTTGTACTTAGACCAGGACGGCTGGGGCTGTTACACAGAGAAACCCTGTCTCAAAAAAAACCAAAAAAAAAAAAAAGAAGAAGAAGAAGAAAGTAAATTCAGCTGTTCACGTTGTAATACATGCCTTCAATTCCAGCACTCAGGAAACAAAAGTTAAAAAACAAACAAACCAGGAAACAAAAGTAGGTGGCTCTCTGAGTTCAAGTCGAGCATGTTCTACATAGTGCTCCAGGCCAGCCACGGATATACAGTTAGACCCTGTCTCAAAAACAAAGGAGATCTGCGGGTTGTCAGAAAGGGAAAGGAAAGGATAGGTCCTGCTGTGTGGCTTTCTGAGGAGGTATAAACATCAAAGGGAGGAGCAAGAGTGAGGAGCTGCTTACAGAGTTACTGTGTCACCAAAAGCGCCCCATGGGTGATGACTGGGGATCTCTGATCTTCCCGCCTATCCTGCAGACATCTCCTGCAAAGGTAGTTAAAGACTCATAGGACCATTCCAGTGGCTTGTGATGATGCCAGAACTTTCTGTGAGTCCTGGGTCTGTAAGCTTCATGAACTCCCAGTCTTAGGAACTCCCTTTTATAAAACACTCAGTCCCTTCCTTCTGCCCTCTCTTCTGTGTAACGTGTACTCTTCACTCCAGTGGCCTGAGTCCTGCCACTGTCTCTGCCCCCAAATAACACATGAGGCACTATATTAATTATGAAGCCATTGGCTGTTTGCTATGGTTTCTTTCTTTCTTTTTCTTTTTTTGGTTTTTTGAGACAGGGTTTCTCTGTATTGTTTTGGAGGCTGTCCTGGAACTCGATCTGTAGACCAGGCCGGCCTCGAACTCATGGAGATCCGCCTGCCTCTGCCTCCTGAGTGCTGGGATTAAAGTCGTGAGCCACCACCGCCTGGCAGCATTTTCTTAATTAGTGATGAGTGGGGGAGGGCCCAGCTCATGGTGGGTGGGGCCATCCCTGGGCTGGTGGTCCTGGGTTCTATAAAAAAGCAGGGTGAGCAAGTCTTGAGGAGCAAGGCATCCTCCATGGCCTCTGAATCAGTTCCTGCTTCCAGGTTCCAACCAGGTTTGAGTTCCTGCCTTGGCTCCCCTCAGTGGATTGTGATCAGGATGTGTAAGTCAAATAGACCCTTTCCTCCAGATGTCTTTCCCAATTTTACACTATGCTCAGGGTTAAGATGACAGTGAAACCTTTCTAAAGAGGGTAAGGGAGATCTCTGAAAGACCATCCCCATCTGTTCCAAGGAGGCGCCAGTTGGTCTTAGGTGGCTAAGAAGATGCTTTGAAGCTGTCAACAAGGGGTTGGGGAGATGACTCAGAGGTTAGGAGCTCTAGCTACTCTTCCAGAGGTCCTGAGTTCAATTTCTAATAACCGCAAGGTGGCCCACAACCATCTGTAATGAGATCTGGTGCCCTCTGCTGGCCTGCAGGCACACATGCAGGCAGAACACTATATACAAGAAATTTTTTAAAAAAAGAAATTGTTAGCAAGGACCAATAAATATATCACGAAGATCTCCCCATCAAAATGGAGTGCTAGGTACAGTGGCATGGAAGGAGGACATGTCTCCATCCAGCCCTCCATGGTCCACAGTCCTTTCCCATGAGCCTCTGTCCTCATGCTGGAGGACTGCCTCTGCCATGCCTGACCCCAGAGCTGGTTCCCCAGCTCTGACAACACTGTGACCACAGCTTCTCTATCAGCTTCTCTACCTGGCTGCTAAAGGGGCCCCAGGCTAAGCAAAGTCTCCACCCCTAGAATGCACCGTTTGAGGGGAAATATCTGCAGTCTCTGCTGAGGAGTTATCCCCGCCCACCTCCAGGGCAGGCATAAATCTTTCACCTACCTGTACTGCTCTCTTATTCTTTCACCCTTTGGTAAACTGTTGCTCAGAACTTTCTTTTTCCTTTCTTTTTTTTTTTTGAGGGGAGGGGTTTGAGACAGGGTCTGTCTGTGTAACAGCTCTGGCTGTCCTGGAACTCACTCCGTAGACCAGGCTGGCCTCATACTCAGAGATGCACCTCTCTGTCTTGAGCGCAGGGATTAAAGGTGTGTGTCATTGCCACCTCCTGGCACTTGGCGCTTCAGATCCTTCTAGACTGGAGACTCACAAGTACTGACTTGAGCTTCTTATCGCTCCCTGCCCCCATGAGTTGTGACTCCATAGAAATCTTGCTACACTTGCCTAAGTGACAAAGACACAGCCCCTTAAAGACACAGCCCCTTAAAGACACAGCCCCTTAAAGACACAGCCCCTTGTCTACTTGTTCTTCCTTTCATGCCCCTTCCCAACCCCATCTTTTAAAATACAGTCTCACCACGTAGTTCCAAGATAGTCTGAAATTCTCTCTGTAAACCAGGCTGGCCTTGAACTCACAGAGATCCACTTGCTTCTGCCTCCCAAGTGCTGGGATTAAAGGTGTGCACCACCACCCTTCCTCTCTTCCTCTTCCTCTTCTTCTTCCTCCCCCTCTTCCTCCTCCTCCTCCTTCTACAAAATTGCCTTAGCATTTTGTTTGCACACTAGTGTAAGCCATTCCTCTTCACTGGAGCTGTCCTCTCTCATGACTGTCATGGCACTCAGGAAGCAAAAGCAGGCAGATCTCTATGACCTCAAGTCCCGTCTACAAAGTGAGTTCCATGACACCCAGGCCTACACAACGAGACTGTCTCAAAACTCCCAAGTAAATAAATATGTGTTATATACATTCTGTACATTTATCACTGTGTATTGTATGAATACATAGGACGTTGTGTGTGATATAAGATACGGCCTTGCAGATTGCATTGTCCTACAGCTTCACCCGCCAGACTGTCAACAGCACTTTCATTTCATGTTTCCAGTTCTGTACCGATTCCAGAAGCTCAGCTGCGCGGCAAGTCCCTCATGAGCGGGGCTTCTGTATTGTGAGGCGTTATACAGGACCCCCTCTTCATGCTCACTCTCGCATTGCTCCATCCTCTGAATTAAGTGTCAGACCAGGGGACATCTTCTATTCTCCTGTCTCACGCCCCTTCCTCACTGGTTCCCCCCCTGACAGGCTCTAAGATGTTTTATGACCCGGGAAAAGCTCATTAGTGCAGATTTAAATTGTGCCTTCCCATTGTGATCCAACCTGTGTAAGAAATGGCAAGCGGACGCCACCATCATCTCTCCCTTCCCTGTTTTCTACGTTCTCTGATACATCAGAGCTCAGCAGAGGATAGCATGTGTTCCCTCCCTCCCTCTTTCCCTCCCTCCCTCCCTCTTTCCCTCCCTCCCTCTCTCTCTCTCTCTCTCTCTCTCTCTCTCTCTCTCTCTCTCTCTCTCTCTCTCTCATAATTAACCCCCTAACATGGTAGCTTCTTTCTGGACAGACAGCCAAACCAAGGTTGTGTTGCTTATCGCTCACAATAAACGCCACACAGCTGCCCCAACAGCCTGCTCATGATGATTCTGCTCTATCATGCCACTTCAGGGGTTCAAAATACATCTTACACATCTATACACATGTAGAGGACCCCACTCATCAAGGAGGAAGACAACCACCCAGGGATCCCCATCCCCCGTGATGCCTCATCTTCAGATACCTCGGCCTTGGCTGGGCATCTTACCACCGATACCAGAAAGTACATAGGTGCCACTACAGTCAGGAAGCCCACCACCCCAAACTACAAGGGAAAAGGTAGACATTCCAGGGTCTCCCCCCCACTCTCCCACCCCAGACAGATCATCCTCGGCCACTTGCCCTACCACACCTCACTGGGACCATGTAACTGCTCCTCCTCAACTTACATTTGACTCTTCTGGTCCTTTTTGGGGCCCAGTTGTGTGACTTTTCAGGATGTGAATGAATGCCTATTCACTCTGTCTGGACTGAAGAAATGATTGCACCCAAGTCTGGCTTTTTGGTTGGGGGAGGCACTTAGTGAGCATGGGTGAAGGGTTGCAGGAGTGACTCATAGGAAGACGTATCACCAAAAAAAATCAAGCAGTGACACCCAGAGGCTGCCTCTCAGGAGCTCATCCCTTCAGGCAACACCACAGAAGCCGTTTCTCCGGAAGGAGTTCTCTGCTACTGACACAACCTTGGCGAGAGACCTTGCAGCTCTTGTACCTTTCCCAGAATCCTGAGTTGTGTACTTCCCCTTAGTTTCCTTTTTTATTTCTTGTGAGACAGGGTCTCCCTACATATCCCAGGCTGTCCTGAAACTCTGCCTCTGCCTCCCAAGTGCCAGGGTGTCCTTACAGTTTTTGGAGCCTAATAAATTATTTATCTTCCTTCCCCTCCCAAAGAGATAACATCTAAACTTGGAGATATCAGCACAGCACCTGCACATACAAGCACGAAGACATGTGTGGGTGTGTGTTATAAAGCAGTACTTTCAAAATAAAAACCTTCCATCTGGGAAAGAAATTCCATAAGACAGGATGTTCATTCTAATGGGAAGGTTCAGGAAGTCCCCCAAACTGAGCGGATTCACTAGGCACTCCTTCCCCAAGCATATATAAGCAGTAAGGACTTCTAAGAGACACACTCAGACAAGCTGAGCTGCCTGAAGATACCCTCCGACCTGTGGAGCTGCTTGCAGGGTTCTGGAGCGATGGTGAGCGCTTGGTAGCGCTGCTCTCTGAACGTTGTCTGCTCCTGTGAGTCAGACCTCACCCATATCCCTGTGATGGCAATCAGACAACAGTGGTAACTACTTTGGTCTGTCACTGGTTTCCTATCTGGGGTGAGTAGACACTTGTTCCTGTCTCCCCAGGAAGTGCCATGCAACGGAAGATTCTGCACTTGAGTCCCTTAATTTTCCCTTTAAATCAGAAGCAGAGTTGTCTCCAAGAAGAGATTGGAGGGGACCTAGAGGACTTGGGATATAGGCCAGGTGTTCTAGAAGGCAGGCAGGGGAACTAAACAGGAACACGGAGGATGGGGAGATTCTGAGCTGCACCAGAGGGCCAGATGAGTCCACAAACATCTTCAGTGGCCCCAACAGTCTGACTGTACAGTTTCCTCCAGCATAGACGCCTTGAGAGAGGAACAAAGATAAGCATGGTGGTTGGAAGAACGACTGTGCTAGCTGATCTTGGGACAGCAGAATGGAGCTGTTGTCAAGGGAAGGACAGGAATATGATGGAGGGAAGAAGACCTGATGGAAGGACTGATTTGGTAAAAACATGAAGAGAACAGGATACAAAGTATAGACAACCTAGATATACATCAGTCGTGGGATGGTTGAATAAACTAGAGTATGCTTTTTTAGTAAGTTAAGTAGATATATATTGACATGAAAAGATCTCCAGAATGTATTCTAGAAATGTGTGGAAAATCATCTTCAAGGATGCAAACATACATATTTGTGTATTTACATATTCATATAATAAATACCTGTAAGAATATGTGTGTGAATGTATTTGTGCACATATATGTGTAATATATCTATATTAACTATAAGTTTGAGAGGAGAAGGAACATTGGAGGAAAAAGATTTTCAGCTGGGCATGGAGGCCCATACCTGTCATCTTAATACTTGAGAGGAGAGTCAGGAGTTCAAGGTCAGATTTTCATACATTGTGAGTGTGAGGCCACTGGGCTACATGAGACCCTGTCTCAATAAATAGAGTGTCTTAGTTACTTTCTATTGCTGTAACAAAACACCATGACCAAGGCAACTTACAAAAGAAACATTTAATTTGGGGTATGTGGATCCATTGGGTTGGAGTCCATGACCATCATGGCAGGGAGACATGGGCTGGAGCAGTAACAGAGATGACATCAGATCCACAACCACGAGACAGAGAGCTAACAGGGTGCTGTGCATTTTTAAACCTTAAAGCCAGCCCTGCCAGGTGGTGGTGGCGCACACCTTTAATCCCAGTACTCAGGAGGCAGATCTCTGTGAGTTCGAGGCCAGCCTGGTCTACAAGAGCTAGTTCCAGGACAGCCTCCAAAGCCACAGAGAAACCCTGTCTCAACCCCCCCTAAAAAAAAAGCCACCCCAGTGGCACACCTCCTCACCAGGGCCACACCTCCTCACCAGGGCCACACCTCCTCTCCAGGGCCACACCTCCTCACCAGGGCCACACCTCCTCATCCTTCCCAAAAAGTTCCACCAACTGGGAACCAAGTATTCAAACATACAAGGGTATGGAAGCCATTCTCAAAGCACCACACAGGGTTAGGGTGACATTCAGTGGTTAAGAACACTTGCTTCGACAGAGGACCAAGGCTCAGTTCTCAGCAACCACATCCCAGCTTACAACCATCTGTAACTCCAGTTCCTGAGGGCTTGACTGACAGGGGATGTCCTTTCCCAGCCTCTAGGGGGTACCAGGCACACATACATATGCACTTGCAACACACTTATACAAACAAGCAAAACCCCTTTTTTTAAAAATTAAAGCAAAGCTGGGCATTGGTGGCACACGCCTTTAATCCCAGCACTCGGGAGGCAGAGGCAGGCGGATCTCTGAGTTTGAGGCCAGCCTGGTCTACAGAGTGAGTTCCAGGACAACCTCCAAAGCAATACAGAGAAACCCTGTCTCGAAAAACAAAAATAAATAAAAAGCAACAACATAGTCATCACTGGATTTATTTTATTTTAAAGGTATCTGTGTCCACCAAGTAAATACACACTGGGATTTGTGCAGTTTGGTCTGTCTTCCACGCTGGCATGCAAAATTTTGGCAGATGTGAGTGGGCAGGCCAGGCGGCCCTCCTGGTGACCTGGCTCTCTGAGAGGGATGTAGTGAATGTGGGGAGGGAGAGTGTGGTGAGAAGTTACCGGTGAAGGGGCTCTTTCCCGCTAACATAAGGAAGCCACACTTCCCCTTACATCTTGCTGAAGAGAGGGATGTGTCGCCCCTCCCTCGTGGGCTCTCCTGTGGACCATTTCCTTGTATTTTGAAAGAATGTCTGGTGGCAAGATTGCAGACTCCCTCACCTTCTCAGGTGTCCTGCTGGCCTGAGGCCACAGACAGGACGGGGCCTTCCTCCTCCAGCCACTGGGTCTGAGCCGGTGACTCCCGAACGCCATCTGTCCTTTCTTTGGAGTTGTGGTTTTAGGGTAGGGGAACCACACTGGACTCCCTCTTATAAATAAGTGATTTCCACACTCTTAGGGCTGTTTCAGGACCCTTCAACTAATTAAGCATTTTCTACTGGGGGGAACATGAAAAGAATGATTAACCTCTGTTACTTCACCATTTTGGTTTTCTTGGTTTTTGCAGTTGAAGAGATAGATGAGACCCTGAGCCCTTGTCACACTAAGTGTCTTGGACAAGCACAGAACCATTAAGCCACCACCAAAGCCTTGTGTTACTTTTTACATCTTCCTACAGAAGACTTATTTTTGAAAAGTGACAGTTGCCATTCTGGATTTCCCCCAGCAGCACTCTGATACCTGTTACCATCTCTGTCGCCCCTTAATACGTAAAAAGCAGAAACTTTCCCTTGAAGGAGTCACGGCCACTACGCCCCGGGTTTACCAGCAGTCACCCACAGGTTTCCTTTTAGCCAGACGACAGACAGGCTGCCCTGCTGTGAGCAAGTCCTGGCCTCACACCCCAGGTAAGACTGGGTATCTGGATGCTTGGCTGTATTTCGTGGCTTAGGCTGGGTAATGACCTCTGTTCCTGCAGGTGTCACCTTGGTGGGTGGGAGGAAAGGGCTCCCTGAACTTCACCAGGGTCCTCTTGACTGCTGGAGGCGGGGATCTGGGCTAAGAATGCTGTGGGGAGAGCTCTAGATTCAAGCCCTCTGCCTTTGTCACCTCTGAAAAATCTGACCTGTCCCTTTCTCTTTTGTTTTGAGTCAGGGTTTTGAGTCAAGCTATCCTAGAACGGACTGTGTAGTCCAGGCTAGCCTCAAATTTAGCAATTCTCCTACCTCGGCCTCCTGAGAGCAACATTTACAAATGTGAGCACCACCATACCCGGCTTTTGTTTTGAGGTGCTGGGGATCAAAACCAGGGCTTTATCATGAGCTAGGGAAGCTGTCGGCCACTTTGCTGCACCCACACCCCTGCCTCGTCTTGAAAGCGCACTTGGTACCAGATGAAGATTGCAGAAGGAACTGTATGTGGGAAGGAAGATACACTGGGGAAAAAGCCAGACTCTAGCTAGCTCGAAGGGAAGGCATCTAGAAACAACTATTATGTCGATGAAGTGGAAGCCCCGAACCAGAGTCAGAAGTGGGAGAACGGGCAACCCAAAAGGGAGAAGGAGTAAGCTTGCAGCTTCAACTGAGGGCACTGTGATAGACACCCCACGGCAGACCCCAGCCTGTTCACGCCCCAGGCCCGGGGAACCCACCGTTTCTGACTCCGCTTGCTTGTAACTATCGGCACAGACAGATGAGCAACCATTTCTCAGAGGTCCGCCCTCTCAACCTTCCAGAATTTTTTTTAAGACAACTCTAAGTTCCAGTTGTGATATCTGGAGTAGAAAGTATCAAAAGAGGCCTGGGCTAGACAGGGAAATAGCCCCTTGAGCAACCCATGCTCAGACTGCGGAAGGAGAGAGCAGAAGGCAGACTTCGTGGACGGAAGTGAGCTCCCACAATCTGACTCAGGTGAGGGGTGTATTGGGGGCATGATTTAGCAACCCTTCCGCTGGGTCCTCCTCTGTGCTCTGTGTAAAGAGGGGGGGTCTGTTTCTCTCTTTTCGTAGATGCTAAGACATTCTTCTGCTTAAGGCTTTGTATGTGCACGAGGTGTGTGTGTGCGTGCGTGTGTGTGCATGTACACGTGTGTGAGCGAGAAGAGCGCGGCCTCCCAGCTCCATTTCCCTTATCTTGTGACAGTGTAAGGAACGAGTGTATGGAAAGAAGGAGGAAGACACTTCCCTCCTCCCTAACGCCAAACGAGGAGGGAGACTATGCTTAAAACCTGCTAAACGCATCACCAGATACTCAGAGTACGAGAGAGAGAGGAGAGGTACAGCAGCAGCTTCTCGTATATAGATATAGAGGACGAAGGGAGATGGAGTAAGAGGAGGCATCGACAGTCCAACAACACGGGCTGGGGAGGGAGCTAGTATCAGAGGCCACAGGTTGCAGCATGCTGAGAGAAGAGGCCTCAGTCCCTCTCAGAAACTGGGAAGGAAAAAGAAAGAAGGCAGCGTGAGGAACCAGCCGGAGCGACCCAGGCTAGGTGCAGGTGCAGGAGCACGCACACATACTTTGGTTTACAGTTCTGTTCCTTTAACGCCAAAGCTGCCATCACCCCCAGCCAGCCCAACCCCTGCTTCTCCATCCCAAATTCTCCCAGCATCTTCTTGCCCTCTCCAGTTCTCTTCCTCATGCTTTGTGCACGGACCATTCTGGAAAAGCCTGGCAGGGCTTGGCCTAGTGTAGCCCAGCAAGAGATTTTCTCTTGATCCTAGTCAGGCAAGGATCTGATATAGATATAAAATAGGCTCTAAAGCAACCATAACATAAACCCTGGTGACACCAGGAAGGGGGGGGGGTCCTGCTGCTCCAAAGGACTTGGCAAGAGAGAGGTGTGGAAGCTAGAGGGGTTGGAGATGGGAGGCAGCTGGTTTTCATGTCCAGTGAACGGCATGGAGAGGACTGGTGTCACTAGCTAGAGGGACCAAGAGTCAGACAGCATCATAGTCTTTGGTAGAATTATCAAGCAGACATCATCACCTTTACATGAGGCATCTTGGTTCAGAACGTCTCCATGTATCTGAGATTATTTTACGATGGAGGCAGAGGCACGATGGGATGTTCTCCCAAGCTCTCCTGTTACCTAAGGTCTGTGACTTGTGTGGCTGTGTAGCTGTCGGGCAGCCTTTGCATTTTTTAAAAACGTGTGACAGCGACCCCTAGTGGTGGAAATCAGTACTGTTGTTACCACCAGCACCCAAGGGCGCAGGCATTAGGGTGCACGAAAGATTTGGGCTGGATCTAACCTCCATAAGGGAAAGTGAGCGGATGTGTGATGTGGGGATCTTAGTCAATATTTTTGTTTGTTTTTGATACACGTTCTCACTACCCCAGGATTCCTTTGAACTCATGACCCTCCTGCCTCTGTCTGAGTGCTGGGATTATAGGCATGTGACACCATACCCAGCTAAGCAGGAGTTGAAAGGTTTTGAGAAGGTTTAAGAAAAATAAAGGGGAGGTGTTGGGGAGATGTCTTAGTTATAGGCATGGGGACTACGCTCAGATCCCCTACACACACAGGAAAGTCAGTCTGTCACCCCAGCACTGGGGGACAGAACAGGCAGATGGGGAGGTGGGGTCAGGGGTGAGCGGCCAGCCAGCCTAGCCAAACCAGCAAGCTCCAGTTTCAGTGAGAAACCTTGTCTCTCAGAATAAGTGCATTGTGATGGAGAAAGACACCCCTACCGAACTCTGGCCTGTGTGCATGTTTGAGTACGCACACACACACACCTCACACACACACACACACACTCAAAATAATATAAAGAGAAAAGAAACAGGAGAAGAGACCAGAGCCAGAGATAGAAGTTGCCTCAAACTACCTGAAAGTGCAGATTGGTCGCCAGGAATGGGAGTTAGCTGGCTGCCGTCTCTTGGTGGAGAGGGAAAAGCTTGGCCTGGTCCTCAGCCTTATAGCCGCATGGCAGGTCACTCCTGGAGAAAGACATAGGACAGTCAGCTCCATTCCTGCCACACTCAGTGCTCGGATAGCATGACTATGACATAGCCAAGGGCAGGCAGGGCAGACGCCCGCTTCTCAGAAAACTAAGGCCTTGCCCAAGATCAGAAAGTTCCCAAAAGCAGGAGAGAAAATACCAGATACCCATGGCGTTCACCCCAGGTATCATAACTGGGACAGGGAGGGGCTTAGCCCAGGGATGACATGAAGTGACCACAGTGAGCCTCATTCCCCCTCCCCCCACAAAGCTGCAGGAAGATCAAGTGGAGAAAAGTTGTTCACTCTTCCTGGTCCCCACCCTGAGAACCCCAGGTTAGTGGAGTCTGGGTACCTGTTGTCGTTGATATCTGTGGCATTTCCTGAAGAGAATACCATTGAGAACACGTGGTTAGAAAAGGCTGATGTCAGGAAAACTTCACAAGCCCTTCCCATCCTGACCCCTCTAAGAAACGGGTAAACCTGGGCACTCCATCCTCAGCTACCCAAAGCTGTACCAGTCGGGCTTAATCCCAGCATTTGGAGGCAGAGGCAGGCGGATCTCTGAGTTAGGCTAGACATCTACATAAGGCTAAGGTTCAGACAGTGGGCCCATGTGGATGCCCCCTTCCCTCCCCCACCCTCCCTCCCCTGAGCCAGCAATGGAATGCTGGGCAGCAAGTGCTCCACCACTGAGCTCCGCCCCATATTATCTTTTTTATTTGACACCCTGGTGTGGAGAAAGATCCTGTTAATCTGCCATAAACACCTCGCAACATGCCCCAGCGATCCCGTAGGCTGGATCTTTGTCACTCACCATTGTCCATGTTGGCCTTCTGGTAGGAAGCCAAGGGACCACCAGATGTGGCTCCGCTGCTGGCACAGGAGTTAGCAAAGCTGGAAGGGACAGAATAGAGACGCAGTCTCTGTCCTAACCATTCTGAGAATCACCATGCCCACACTCCTCCCAGCCACTCATCCTGTCCACTGCAAGGAAAGAAACGGATAATCACAGAGACAGACGGAGGAGGGCGCATCTCCTAATCACATGTGGAAAGCCAAGGAAAGGGCTCAAAGCCATGCGACTTGGAAAATAATTAAATTTAGATAAGCCAAGAGCTGACACCATCCTACGGCTGGCTTCTAGGTCCCAGGCAGCCTTGGGCTGGAACTCCGGCCACACCCATGGTCACTCACTACATATCTGAGGTGGAGTTAGGAGCAGCCTGCAGGTGCAGGTTTTGATAGTTCTGGAAGAGGTTGTTGGTGTAACTGATACACTCTGGGCTCCGGGTGCCGTAGGGGTTGGTGGGTGAGGAGGCTGGGTAGTGGCCAGGCCTCACAGGTTTGGCTGTGAAAGAGAAGAAACAACTGTGGGAAAACTGTTGGTTAGTCACCCCGAGTTTCCCCTGGTCCCCAAGGTCAACACCAGCAAAATGATGTTACCACCCTTTAGTGGGAAGGCTCGGGCTAGAAGCAAGCACTGTGCTGTCGGGCGCGGAGGAACTGGCCGGGTCCTCCCCAGTGGTGACCGGCCTCACCTACTGGCGCCCACTCACCGATCTGGGCCGAGTGGCCCCGCTTGCCCGAGCTCTTGTACCGCACAGCCTCCTTGATGCGGTCCACCTCCTGCTGGTAGCGACGCTTGTCCTTCATGGCGCCCTCCTTGGCCTCCTTCAGTGCACCCTCCAGGGCCTTAACTCTCTCAGCCGTAGCCCTAAGTCGTTTTTCCAGTTTAGGAAGCTCACAACGCAAATCTGCATTGTCACGTACCAGCTGTGAAGTGACCCAAAATAGAGTCACCCAGTGGAGTGTGGGGGTTGGGGTAAAGAGAGAGTAAGGAAAATCAGGACTTGTCATTTCCTTGAGAGACCACCGCCTTCCCTCTAGGTAATATGCGGTTCTATCCGGTTCTCTCCGGCTCCCTACATCATTTTCTAAGCAGCCAAACCTCCTGCAGCCCCGTCCTGGGTTCATCCACGTAAATGCACTCTCCCTCCACTGTATGTCACAGCCTGTGCCCTCAGGGGGGATGAGATGCTGTGTGGGCATTCGAAGGGAGGACAGCAGGAGCACACGACAGTCAGAGGGCGGACTGAGGAGCGCAGTGAGTGCAGAGCAGGAACGGGAAACCGGGACTCCTTCGCAGCCACGCAACGCCTCCGATACAACCACACATGGAGCCTCCCACACTGCCACGCACACACTGAGCCTCCCACGCAGACACGCACACACTGAGCCTCCCTCGCAGCCACGCACACACTGAGCCTCCCACGCAGACACGCACACACTGAGCCTCCCACGCTGCCAAGCACACACTGAGCCTCCCTCGCAGCCAAGCACACACTGAGCCTCCCACACAGCCACAAGCACAAGGAGCTCCCCTGGCAGCCACACAGGCATGGAGCCCCCCACACAGCCACGTGCTCGGAGCCTCCCAGGAAGGAAAGAAAATGTTTGTGATCGGATCACACAAACATTTGTGCTCATTACCTTCACGCATCCAAGGACCTCCCAGGTCATCCTCCCCAACCCCATTAAAATTAAACTAGAGCCTGACAGCAACCACCCTGCAGTCAGAAAGGCCCATGACTGGGGCACTTGATACTAAGGGGACAGGAGGGGGAGGCTGGGGACAGCTGGGGACAGCCCAACTGGTCAGCACAGAACACAGCAGTGAGGAAAGGGACAGAGCTTTAGATTTCCCTGTACTGCTGGGTTAGGTTAGCTCCGGACAATGCTGATTCAACACCGCCATTTCCTTCATAGACTCATATCTGCTGGGTAGGGCATCGTGTTTATCTCGTCTGCCCTTTAGGGGAGCAATTTTTGGAGTTTGGGAGTTAAAGCAGAAGCAGAGGCTTTGAGGACGGAAAGGGGGCAAGCAGAAAGAAAAGAGGGAAAGGGAAGAGAGGAGAGAGAGAGAGAAAGAGAGAGAGAGAGAGAGAGAGAGAGAGAGAGAGAGAGAGAGAGAGAGAGAGAGGGAGGGAGGGAAAGGGAGGGAGGAAAGAGAAGAAAGGAAAAGAAAGAAAAGAAAAATTAAGAATGAAAAGAGAGGGTCATACTATGTAGCCCAGGCTGGCCTAGAACTCACTATATAGCCTTGGCTGCCCTCAAACTAGTTTCTCAAGAGCTAGGATCACAGGCATGTGCCACCATGCCTGGCTTCGGTTTGATATATACTAGAATTGGGCTTTGTGCAAACTACTCAACAAACATTCTCAACTATACTCCACTCCAGCATGCCTTTTTTTTTTTTTTTAAGATTTCCTAGCTGTCATTCAACTTTTTGGTGAAGATGCTATACCATTTCATAGTAAGAGGAGGAAGGAAAGATAATAGTTAAGCCCTCTGCAGAGCCAAAGAATGCAAACTCAACAGGCTTTGACCAAGTCGGGTTTGGTAAGTTTTCCAAAGGACACACAGTCTTTACTATGCGGACATGGGCATCAGGCTGGGGGAAAGGTGAGCTTGGCGACTGAGCATGAGTCTAGTTAGATAGAATCTAAAGGACTTGAGAGGGAGCGAATGAAATTTAGGGTGGGGCTTACTTTATGAACCAGTGAAAGAGCCAGACTGTTGAGTGTGTTGGCCCCTTGACATGAACAAGGACACTTCTGCTGTGGACACAGCAAACATTTCCTGTCCTTTTTCCTCCGGGCTGCCTCTTTACCCACCCAGCCCATATACCTTGGAAACCCAGTCTTCCACCTACAGAGCAAGCAGCAGCAAGCAGGGGACGGAGAAGCAGCAGCAACTCAATGCAGGGTCTGACTGGCCCCCCACCAGGGGGTCACGTGAAAAACATTCAATGTTCTGCATACCTGCCCCAGGTGGGCAAATGGAGTTGTTTGATTTTGCTAAGAAAAAGCCCAATTCCCTTTATCTTTCTTTTTTTTTTTTTTTTTTTTGGTTTTTTCGAGACAGGGTTTTTCTGTGGCTTTGGAGGCTGTCCTGGAACTCGCTTGGTAGTCCAGCCTGGTCTCGAACTCACAGAGATCCGCCTGCCTCTGCCTCCCGAGTGCTGGGATTAAAGGCGTGCGCCACCCTTTATCTTTCTTATATCCCTGTCTGAAGTCCAGTACTTTTATACCTGACCCCAACCCACCACAGTGCTAGAGATTGCCCCATAGGGCCTCGTGCAGCCTAGGCAAGTCTCTGCTCATAGCGACCTTAAAGCCATCCTCTGTAGCACAGCCCCTGTGTCTCTACAACTTCCACAACATTCCAACCTCTTCCTCCAAGGCAGGGCTGGGGACTTCCCCTTCTAGCAAAGACAAGCAGAAACTCTGAAGAAGGGAGAACGGGTACAGAGCAAAGATCAGTGTGTGGTGTGCACATGGACCCAGAGAGGATGCCAAGAAGGGAGTCAGTGAAAAGAAGAGGAAGCTACTGCCGGCCGCACACAGCCAGCCAGCTCTTCTCCAATGCAAGGGGCGGTTCGAATTTCGGCAGCCCCAGGCCTTGCCTCAGGTTCTCTCCTGCTCCTTCTGGATGCTTACCTGTTTGTGAACTTTTGTAAGCTGTTCCAGGTTGTTCTCAAGAAAGGAGATCTTCTGTTTCTGGGAGTGAATCCCCCCACTGTCCTCGGGCTCCATTTCTGCACTCTGGTCACATGGAAGGGAAGAAAGGCATGGCTGTCCTGAGGCCAAACCAACCCCACAGGGGACAACAGGCTAGAGAACCCCGAGAAGGGGAGGAGAATATGGGGTGTGGGGACTTGAAGATGGCACTCACTTTCTTGACTCGAGTCGTGACGTCTTGAACGAACAGCTTGCGAAGGTTGTGGAGGGTCTGGAGTTCCCGGGCCTACAAAGAATAGCTCACAATAGGGGACGGCTGGATATGGGGTCTGCCTTCCCCCTCTACAGTCCTTGAAACCTTCAGTCTACATGGACAAATGGGTCGGCCGTCCCAGATGAGCGGTCGCACCCCAGGAAGAGGGCAGGAGAAACAGACTAGGGAGAACTGAGGAGGACGGAGAGCCGCCTCCTAATCTGTTAATTTGGCACAGAGGGAAACCACTCACAACTGTCTCCTCCAGCCCCTTGAGGTCCTGCTTGGACTGCTCATGTCGCTCGTACAGAAATCTGTAGCAAGAGAAGTAAGGGACAAGAAAGACCCCTCAGGATGCTTCTTCCCCTAGTATTCCTTTTATCTTACCATTGTTTACTATGCAAATTACTTGTGTTTGCAATGCAGTAATCAGAAAGGAATCCTTAAAAGAGAGTTAGGAGGCATTTGATGAAAGGCCGTGATTCTGTTATTTACAGATAAACTACCAGTGTCCATCCTTGCCAACTGTCTTTTTTATGCTTAAAACATAGCCACATACAAAGTTTCTTAAGACCATACCCTCTGTACTGCTTCAAGACCTGATTTTCATACTTGACAATTCTGGCTGTCCTGGAACTCACTCTGTAGACCAGGCTGGCCTCAAACTTGCAGAGATCCGCCTGCCTCTGCCTCCCGAGTGCTGGGATTAAGGGTGTGCGCCACCACACAGGGCCTGGCAGTCACTTCTGCTGGCCTCCTTTCCTCTCTCCCCACCCCCTCATGCTTGCTTCCTGTGACTGTCCTCACAGAGGTCGCCCATACGTCCGTCCTGCGTCTGTACGTCCATCTTCATCACGGTTCCCAGCCTGCCGGGGAACGGTACTCACGTCAGCTCCTGGAGTTTGGCGCTCTTCTCATGCTCCTCGTTCTTCAGCCGCTCATAATCAGCCTGAAGCTTCTCCAGCTCCAACTGCAGTTTCTGGTTCAGGCTAAGGAGGGTGAGGGCACGGAAGAGATAGAGACACTAAAGAGAGGAAAGGGAAGCCCCACCCCTCAGGTATGGGGATAAGCATCAGCTACCATTTTCAGGACACCATGGGACCCTGAGTGATCCGATTATAAAAGCCTCAAGGACAGAGTTAATTCTAACTTCATGTCTTTTTCTTTTAATTTTTTTTTTACGTGTGTGTTTTGTTGTCTGCCTGTGTGTCTTTGCGCTACATGTATGCCTGGCACCTAAGGAGGCCAGAAGGGGATGTTGGATCCCCTGGGACTGGAGTTACAGATGGCTGTGAGCCACTATGTGGGAGCTGGGAATCAAACCCAGGTCCTCTGGAAGAGCAGCCAGTGCTCTCAGCCACCCTGCGTCTCTTGAAGTTAGTCTTTGAAGTATGTGTCATTGTTGAGGAAATGACCTTAAGACACTAAGGATCACTGGAGTGGCCAGAGAGATGAGGAGACTGGAGGGACACTCAAGCTACCCCCTAGGACCCTTACTCTTTAAGCTCATCAATGGTCCTCTGTTTCTCATTAATCTCGTCTCGGAGGCGGGCCAGCTGTCGGTGATGGGCCTCGCGGTGATTCTCCATCTGCAGTTCTAGGGCCTTCTGCGACAAGCCAACGCTTTGCTCAGAGCCAGACTCCCGGCTGACGTGGGCACAGCCCTCGCCATGCCAAGCACACGCCCCGCACAGCTTCCGGCTCACCTTCACTTCTTCTGCGTCTTGTGTGTCTGGTTCCTTGTCTTTCAGGGCCACTTCATGCACAGTTTCTAAGCAAAAGAGAGGAAGAGAGCTGCATGATTCCAGAGCGCCAGGCCTCGGGGGAGGGGTGCCTAGGGATGGGGAACAACAGAGGGTCTATGGTGCGTGTAAAATGAGCTACAGGCAAAAGCCAGGCTACATGTTAAGTAGCAGACGAGCTGACACTCAAGCCCATACTAAGCAAGAGGCTATTGGGTTATTTCTTCCCATGTGGGCGACTTTCCTTTGGAGTCCCTTCTGGGAGCTCAGATCCAAGGGTGGCTGGGATGGACCCGAGACGGCCTCACCCTGCGCCTGAAGCTTGGCTAGCTCATCGCTCAGGGAGTCATAGGATTCCTCCAGGTGCCGTTTCTTCAGCTCCACACTCTGCATGTATTCCGTAAGCGAGCGGATCTTGGCCTCGTGCTGGCAAGGGAAGGTAGATGGCGTAAAGGGGACAAAGGGAACAAGGGTCTCGCACTGTAACCCGGAGCTCTCCTCCCACGCCGCCCCTCCTGCTGCACTTTCCTTAAGGACACAGTCCTATTGAGACTCTGCAGACAATCAGGTCAAAGGACAGCCCCCCCATTCCAACCCCTGGGCCTGGATCCTCCCCAATATTACCCCGGGTTCTTAAGTCCTTGATCTCCATTGACCCACAACACTGGCATGAAGGTGGGTGTTGGGGAGCGTTTTTGTTTTGATTTTTGGTTTTTCGAGGCATTGTTCTCTGTGTAGCCCAGTCCTGGAACTTGCTCTGTAGACCAGCCTAGCCTCGAACTTGGAGACCCACCGGGCGCGTGCCACCACCGCCCAGCCAGTTTTTCTGTGCCACAGAATAGGCTTTCCACACGTGAGCCCTCACGTTCAGACACTCACCTGTGAGATGAGCAGCTGGCAGGATGACAGCTCCCTACCAGTCACCTCCATCTTGCGATGGCATTCCACCTGGAGGCTCTCCAGCTGCCTACACCGCTTGACCACAGACTTGACCTCCGACTTGATTTTGCTGATGTAGAGTCGGGCCACCGTGAACTCCTCTTCGATGGCCCCACTGATCTCCACTGGCTGAGGGTGGGCAGAGGAGGAAGAGCTGCTTCTCTGAGGCAGAAAGCGTGTACCTACTTCCTTTACCCTCTGCCTGCCTGAATCACATCCCGCTGCAGGCATTCAAGGAAGCTGGGAATTCCTGAACACCTTTGTGCTGGCTGCTTTTATGTCAACTTGACACAGCTAGAGTCATCTGAGAGGAGGGAGCCTTGATTGAGAAAATGCCTAATAAGATCTGGCTGCAAGCAAGCCTGCATGCCTGCCTGCCTGCCTTCTTTCTTAAATATTTATTTATTATGTATACAGCATTCTGCCTGCATGTATCCCTGCAGGCCAGAAGAGGGCATCAGGTCTCATTACAGGTGGTTGTGAGCCACCATGTGGTTGCTGGGAACTGAACTCAAGACCCCTGGAAGATCAGCCAGTGCTCTTAACCTCTGAGCCATCTCTCCAGCCCATAAGGCATTTTCTTAATTAATGACTAATGGGGGAGGGCCCAGCCTATTGTGGGTGGTGCCACCCCTGGGCTGGTGGCCCTGGGAGATATAAGAAAACAGGCTACACAAACCAATAAAGTCGCACGCCTGTGCATCAGCTCCTGCCCCATCAGTAGACCATGACTAGGAATACATAAACCAAATAAACCCTTTCCTCCCGCCCTCTTGCTTTTGGTCCCGGTGTTTCAACCACAGCAATTGTAAGACATGGCTCCCATCAACTAATATTTCACTTCAAAGCCTCGGCTGACATTCTGAGACTCCTCCCCTTCACTTTAAAAATCAACCAGTCTTGTTTTGTTTGCTCTATTACCCATACCAGTTCCATCCCCCACCCCACCCCTTCCCCCTCCCCACCCCTTCCCCGGGCTTAAGTGTCGGCCTCCGGAGGACTGGGATTACAGCTGCACACCCTTCACCCAGCCGGACTTCGTTTGTAGATAAACTAGTTCTGCCTAATAACCCAACAGGTTGGTTTTTCTTTTATTTCTTTGTTTTGTTTTGGGGTTTTGTTTGTTTGCTTTTCAAGACAGGGTTTCTCTGTGTAGCCCTGGCTGTCCTGGAACTGTAGACCAGACGAGACTCAAACTCACAGAGATCCGCCTGTCTCTCTGCCTCCTGATTGCTGAGTTTAGAGGTGTGCTCAGCCACCACTGCCCGGCTTCCAAAGGGTCGTTTTCTTATGCACAGATGTCATTCCCACCCTGTGTCAACATCTAGATCCTGCCACAGGAACCTCTCTCTCTCTCTCTCTCTCTCTCTCTCTCTCTCTCTCTCTCTCTCTCTCTCTCTCTCTCTCTCTCTGTCTCTCTCTCCTAAGTGAACCCTTTAGAACGTCTTCTCAGCTTCTCAGTTGTTCCTACAAATCTCTGTCATTCTGTGTCTAATCTGAGCACAGTGTATTTGTTTTGTCAATTAAAAACAAACAAAAAAGGTCTGCTTGCCCAGGCTGGCCTAGAACTCTTGTTTTCCCTGCCTCCGTCTCCCAAATGCTGGGATTACAGATGTGTGACATCACATCCACCTCTTGGGAGGGATGTTTCTTGGCTCCTCGGCCTGCCTTTCTCAGCACCCCATAAGGATAGATTGTCCCACCATGCCTCACTCCCCAGTGCCCAGAGCAAGAGTGCCCTGAACAACACTGCCGTCGTGTCGTCGTCCCGTCCCACCCCCCAGCTTACCAGCTTAATCTCACCGCTGCCCACGATGACACTGAACTCACTCAGGTCCTTCATCAGCCCATTCAGCACCTCGGCAATCCGTTTTCGCTGGTGTCCACTGACCTCCTGGAGCCGCTGTAGCTCAGACTCCAGGGACAGCATGGTGGCCTAGAGACAGCCCCTAAGGTCACTACCATTGCCACCCTCCCGCTCCCCTTTCCCAGAGCCTCTCATGTCACCTAAGGCTCTGAGGGCTTCTATGAGAGAACACAGACCCTGCAGAAGCCTCTGGAAGAGAAGGGCACACTGCAGAGGCAGGGCAGGGGAGGGCGTCTCAGCACACCGAACACCAGTGCTGGAGGAGCGGCAGTCATGGCAGGCAGCAGGGGCGTTCTGAGGTTGGGGTGCCCTTGGGACGCTCCCCAGCCACTCACCACCTTCTGGGACAGTTCATCCACCAGCAACTGGTTCTGCTGGCTCTTCTCCTCCACCTCCTGGGACTTCTGGTCATAGTTGACAGCCAGCTCCTCCAGGGCCTGCAGCACCTCCTTCACCTCATCCTTCGCTGCGTCGTTCTCCGACTGCAGGTGGCTCAGCTCCCGCTGGACCTTCTCGTTGTCTCCCCGAGTAGACACCAGCAGCTTTGAAGGAGAGGCAGGGCATGTAAGACCGCTCTCTGTCAGTGATCACCTCGTGGGCCCCTAGCTAAGCTCCAACACACCCCCCGACACACGCTTGAAGTACAAGTTAAAGGGATGTGAGCATCAGGCCTCATTAACCAGAATGGGAAAGCACCTGGACTCCATCATCTGGACTTGAAGAACAACCTGGTCGGTCACTATGTAACTTCAAACAGGCTCAAACTCTTTTTAGTTAGTTTGTTTTTGAAAGAGGGTTTCTCTGTGTAGCTCTGGCTGTCCTGGAACTCACTCTGTAGACAAGGTGGACTCAAACTCAAAGATTCACCTGCCTTTGCCTCCTAAGTGCTGGGATCAAAGGTGTTAGTATTCAGGCATCTGTACTGGCCTGTCCTTGGGGTTCTGACAGGATACGCCCTCAGCTGCAGCCACTAAGACCACCTGTGCAAGTTCACTATGTTCCCTTTTAAATGGGCCCTGCCCACCTCCCCCTGCTGTCTCTGTCTCTCTCTCTCTCTCTATGCTTCTCTGCCTGTCTCTGTCTCTCCCTCCACCCTCTTCTCTTCTCTTCTGCTGCTCCTGTCCCCAGAGGCCAGTCTCCCCACTCCCCACCCCTCTCTCCCCTAATTAAAAACCCCTCCTCGTGAACTCAGTCACCATGGCATCTTTCTCTCTTGAGCCAATTGTTTAAACTATAACAAAAGGCATGCACTATCATGCCCAGGTTAGCCTTGAATTCTTCCTGACTCAGCTTCCTAAGAGAAGTTTCCAGACTGCAACTATTTTCATGGGTCACTAGCCAGTAAGGAGAACGCCTATTCTTCCATGCCTTTTTCTTTTTAATAAAGTTCCATGTATCCAAGTCTTTGTAGCCAAGAATGACCATGTGCCTGTAATCCATCCAGATTACAGGCACATGACAGATTACAGGTGTGTGTGTGTGTGTGTGTGTGTGTGTGTGTGTGTGTGTGTTTACAGGCATGTGCCAGATTACAGGCGTGTGTGTCAGGTCACAGGTGTGTGCCAGATTACAGGCATATGTGCCACGACATCTGGCTTACACTGTACTGGGGATCAGCCACAGGGCTTCATGCATGCTACGCCCACACTCTGCCAACCCAGCTTCCACATCCTCAGCCCCTCCCACGCTGGGAAGCACTTTCGGATTTGCAGGGGTGAATACTGGGTTTTCACTAGGGCTGTTACCTCTTCCTGGTCCAGCATCTGCTGCTTCAGTTTCTCAATGAGCTGGCTCTGCTGGTTGATTTCATCGTCCTGTCAGGGGCAAGAGGGAATGGTGAGGGGCTACTTCTCCCATTTCAAAGTGCCAGGACCAGAGGAAGAAGCGAGGTCCCGTAAGAACCGGAGTGCCTCTTTGAGTTGGAGAGCTCACACACCAAGAGGACTACAGCACTTCACTTTTAAATTCTCAGCCTTCAGCACCATGCCCAACAGCCTTCACCTTGTCATCAAGCTGCTTGTAGAGGCGGCGGATCTCTTCCTCATATTTCTGCCTCTCCTCAGGTGCGATGCGGACCACAATGGATGAGTTGTCATTCACGGGGGTCTCCTCGCACAGCTCAGCTCCCAGAGCTGAATCCTCCCCAGCCAGGCGCTCAGTCTCAGGCACGTTCTCTCCTGACAGATGGATAGAAGGAAGGGAAAAGCAGTGTGAACGTCAACATTATCAACCTCACAGTAACCAGCACCAACTATGAGACCTATGAGACGAAGATCTGGATGCCTAAGAGGGGGTTTCCAGACTGAGTTAGTTCAAGTGGGCAGATCCACCTTAAAGGTGGGCAGGACCATCCCATGGACTGGTGTCCAGACCGAAAGAGGAAGAGGACGGAACCTCAGCTCTCATCTGTTTCCTGACTACAGGTGCAATGTGAGCAGCTACCTGGGCTCCTGCCGCCACGCTGCCCCTGCACCCTCAGAGCAGATACTCTGGCTACAGGTGGGGAAAAGAGTTGCATGCTTATTCCAACCCTCCCTGAGTCCTCCTCAGAGCCAGGATCTCAGCCCCCCCCCCCCTGGAGGATCTTGGTAGGTGATCAGTTTATTCACACTGTGCCTCTACACTTCTTCCAGAAACGGCCTTGCTTCTTAGAGATTGTTGCTGGCCTTAAACACTCCCAGGTGGGGCTGTCCCTAGGCCTCGCCCATGGGAGCTCCGTCTCTAACCATTGCGCCACCGGCTTAGTTCGGCCTCCAGCTTTGCAATCGTCTCCTTCTGGGCCTTGGTCTTCTCCTTCTCCTTCTCATATTTCTTCTTCCATTGCTCAGCAGTCAACTCCAGATTGACGGAGGCAGTGTTCTTAATGGTCTTTGCCCTGGGTGAAGACAAGATTCATTGTTGGCCTTTGGTGATGGGGGGGGCACCTGGGACACCTTCTGGGGGCCCTGACACTGACCGCTGCCCGAACATCAGAGTGGACTTGGTCTCCGCGTCGTTGTAGCTAGACGGAGAGCAGCAGATGAACATGGTGGTCCTGCAGTTCCCGCCCAGAGAGTCCTGGAGAATCCGGGTCATTTTGCTGTCACGGTACGGCACGTAACTTTTCTAGAGCAGGAGGCAGACCACGAATGAGAAAAATAATTTCAACAGGGTAACAAGGGATAGTGGTGTTCACTGAGGGTTGAACAGCCCATGCATTGGGGCATGAGGAGAAGGCAGGGAGACGGGGAAGAGGGTGAGGGGGGATGAACACTTACAGTGCCCTCAGCCAGGGCGGAGATGACATTCCCAAGGGCCGACAGTGACTTATTGATATTCTTAGCCTCATCCAGCACAGCACCCTCTGCCCCAGTCTTGCTGACCTGTCAGAGGGTTACAGGACAAGTGTGTCAGGAAGAGCCACACACGCTGTCACCACATCTTTCCTCAGAAGGGCCAAGTCCAAAAAGAGGGAGGGAACTGAGAAGAGGACAGAGATGCTCAGCCAGGATCAGGGAGACCCTTCCTCCATTCCCGACCTCTCCTGGGGATGCCCCTTACCATGACAGTATACATGTTACATACTATCACTTATACGAGATATTCAGGATGGGCAAATTCAAAGCCAGAGGGTGATTCTGTGGTTTCCAGGGGATGGATGGGTATTGGGGAGAATGGGCAGTAACTGTTGGGTAAGGAAATGTTCTAGAATTTGGCGGTAATGACAGTGTATGATCTTGAGGAGAAACTTAACTGACTGGACTGTTTGGGGGTGAGGGTGGGTGGATTCTCACTGAGTAGCCCAGACTGGCTTCATAATCATGTAGCCCAATCTTGCTCAGCCAACTGCAGGGATTGCAGATGTAGACCACCACTCCTGATTCAGGATTGTTTCGTGTTTTGTGTTTTTGCAGGTGCATATGTGTAGGGGCCACAGGTCAACTTGGGTGGTGTTCCTCAGAAATTGACACATTGCTTCTTTTGAGCCAAGGTCTCTTGCTGGGACAGGGAACTTTCTGGTTAAGCTATGCTAGCTGGCCAGTGAGCCTCAAGGATCTGCCTGTCTCCACCTCCCTGGTGCTGGAACTGCAGGCATGCACCACCATGCTCGAATTTTTATGGGGTGCCGGGGACTGAACTCGGGTCCTTAAGCTGGTAAAGCAAGCAGTTTACCAACTAAGCATCTCCCCAGCCCCACATTTTGTTTTGTTTGAGACAAGGTAACTCATCCAGGCTAGTCAAACTCCTGTTTTGTCAGCGATGAACTTCCGATCCTCCTGCCTCCATCTCTCAAGTGCTGGGATGGCAGGAGTGTAACAATATTGCATTGCTAGAGAGACCAACCCAAGGTTTCATGCCTCTACCAAAGGAGTTATGTTCCCAGCCCTGGAGTGTGTGTGTGTGTGTGTGTGTGTGTGTGTGTGTGTGTGTGTGTGTGTGTGTGTGTGTGTGATGGGGACAGGGTTGGGGCAGTGTGAGCATGCACAGCATGTGTATGATCAGGGGACAACCTCAGGTGTTGGTTCTTGATTTGAGGTTGAGTCCCTCCAATGCTCACTGCCACTTACACCATCTTCCTCTAACTGTAGGAATCCTAGAATTGCAGGCCTGAGCCACCGTGCCTGGCTTCGTGTGGCTTCTGGAGATCTGAACTCAGGCCCTCAGGCTTGCACGGCAATGTACCTACTGAGCCATTTCCCTGTGATACATTTTAACGGTGAAATATTTGCTTCCTACTGGAGAGTTGCCTGTTCTTCCCAATGTGGCATGAAAGGTGTAGTATCACATGGCCAAATTTAGCTTTCTTTCAAATTTAATTGTTTTTGTTTTGTTGTTGCCGTTTTCTGGCTTTTTGAGACAGGGTTTCTCTGTGTAGTCCTGGCTGTCCTGGAACAAGTTCTGTAGACCAGGATGGCCTCAAACTCAGAGAGACCCACTGGCCTCTGCCTCCCAAGTGCTGGGATCAAAAGTGTGTGCCATCACTGCCTGCTCTCAAAATTTAATTTTTAAAAAGGCAAAGCTTCCCCTGGAGGATTCCTTTTCAGCCCCCCACCCCACCTTCCTCCAAAATTCCCGACCTTCTCGCTCCCAGCCAGGTCCACAAGGTAGAGCTTCCCGCTGAGCTTCTGCTCAGTCTCTATGTTCTCCTGCTTGATGTTGATGAGGAAGATGCTGTGGCTCCGAGAACTGTGCTCATTCATATCTGCAGGGGTGGAAACATGGTCCCCTTACCCAGCCACCCCTGCAGGGCGGCAACCCTCAGCCACAGTGCCCGTTAGCTGCCGCTCCACCCACCGAGAGAGAAAGGGCCACCAGGACCGTCCCTGCTGTGTCACCTTCTAGGCAGTGGGCTACACAGACAGGAGGTCCTCCTCCCATTCGCTAGCCCCTAGTAGACACAGAAGCCAGAAGACCTCCAGACCCAAGAGCTCTTTATCTCCCCACTCACTGGTGACAGCTACGTGACGGTTCGACTTCCCTTCATCAATCACATCCAAAATCTCCTCTGGGCTGGACACGAAGCGCTCAGTACAACCCTGTAGGAGGCAAACAGCAGGGACCGTACATTCTGATCTTGCTCGCCTACGGTCTGGCCACTGACCCCTCTTTCCCTCACACGGGCTCCTGACGCCTGAGTTGCACACAGAACTCAGCCTTCTCTCACCTTGACAAAAGGTACCCGGTTCTTGTCCTCGTGCACAGACAGGTTTGTCTTGGTCACTGAATCAAGACAGAGCAGGGTGAGAGAGACCAGTGCCCACCCACCCCTCGGTACTCTGCAGGAAGACTCCCTAGGGAAACCCAAAGGCCATGTTCATGGGAGGCTCCATTCCTTCCCTCCCCACGGGCTCCATATGTGTAAGGGCTGAGCCTTAAGCTCATCCCCAGCTCTCTCAGACTTTGGGGAATTTTTTTCTTCTTCTGAAGTACAGGGGGCTGAATGGAGATCTCACCAGTGCTAGGAAAACACTTTGCCTCCTGCCCTATATTCCCACCCCTTTCTCCTGTCTCTGTTTTCCCTATTAGTTAGGGTTTGAACGCACGTCCTCACCCCTGCGAGGTGGCTCCACTCTTACCTCCTCCCACCCCTTTTCAATCTTGCCAAGTGGCCCAGCGTGGTCTCAAAAATCATAACCCTCCTGCCTCAGCGCAGGCTTCCAGGCAAGTGCCACCATCCCTGACTGAAAGTCTGTGGAGGGCAGAACCAGACAACTCTGGTGTGAAGAGACACATCCTGGATGCCCAGCTAAACCAAACTCTGGATAAAGGCGGTCTCTCTGCCCTCAGCCTCCTCGTATACATTCACCCACTGAGCCCAGGTACTCACCATCCAAAAGGTCTCGGATCTTATCCAGGTAAATCTCAAAGTAAGAAACCTGGTCGGGAAGAAAGGGGGCGATGGATGTGAGATGCTCTGCTTTAATTTTGTGTGTGTGAGCATTTTGTGTTCGTGTGTCTATACATCATGTGCGTGCAAGGTTCGAGAAGAGCCTATCAGATCCCTAGGGACTGGAGTTAGAGACGGTTGTGAGCTGCCATGTGGGTGCTGGGAATTGAACCCGGGTCCTCTGGAAGAACAACCAGTGCTCTTAACCCCTGAGCCATCTCTCCAGCCCCAAGAGGGTAATCGAACACAGGAACCCAAGCCAACGTGACTGGCTCAAGAAGAGTGGGCTGGCAAAGTGCGGGAGAGGGCACCTTGGTGAGAAGCTGAGGTAACCAGAGGGGAGGGTGAAGCTTTAGCAGGCTCATTCTAGACTTTTCCATCCCATCTCCATCTGGGCCCCCCAGAGGTCATCTGCCCATCACCTTAATGTGGAATTCAAGGTTCTCGTCCATGGAGTAGATGTGGTTGAAGATGTCTCGAGCAATCCGAGGGATGATTCCCATCAGCTGAGGGTCGTGCAGCTTTCCCTGAGGAGGGAAAGGCATACCAGAGTAAGACAACTCAGAGGGGACACGGAGGTAAGGAGTCACAGGAAGATGGCCACCGCTATGTCTGCCACCGCATGGAAGCTGGTAACTGAGCAGCATCTGCTGACACTTTTCAGGGTCCGAGGAGGACAGCAGGGGTCACGAGAGAGAGGGGAAGTGGGCAGGCTAAAGGGATTCCTCCAAGCCTCGCCTACCACACTGCTCCTCACGCATCCTCTGGACCCACCTGCCTCTGATTCAGCCCCCCCCCATCCCTGCATCGCCCCTATAGAGATCCTAGATCTTCTGCGGACCTTCCTCGCATTCCTCAACCCCAAGTCAGAACCCTCACCTCCATGGTATGTGTTTTCCCTGAGGATGTCTGTCCATAAGCAAAAATTGTGCCGTTGTAGCCAGCAAGGACGTCTGGAAGAAAAGGCAGAGAAAGCGATCTGGTGGGGGAGGGGAGGGAGGCGTGGCGATCGTTGGGCGGGGGTGATACATCCAGGAGACCAGTCTCTTACCTTTGACGATCTGCATGGCACATGCATGATAAACTTGCTCCTGAGTCGTGTTTGGGGGGAACACACGGTCAAAGACATATGGCTTTCCCTGGAGGGGAAATAAAACAGGATAAACGGACATCAGTAGGGAATGTGAGGCGGAAGATGACACCGGAGAGCTTTCCATCAGTCTGCAGAAACGCCCACTCTGTAGCCCGGAGAGCTTTCCATCAGTCTGCAGAAACGCCCACTCTGTAGCCCTGAAAACACAGGAGTTTGGGAGACGAGAGACCCTGGAAAGAGAAGTAGTTTACTTCTGACAGCGGGAGGGGTGCTGTGCGCTAGCGTGTCGCTACAGAGCGTCTCACAGGGTAAGGGGGTCCTCGTCTGGATGTGAGATTCCAGCACTCCACTCCTGGGAAACCAGACAGAAAAAAGATAAAAGATAAATGGGAAGAGAGAAAGTATTCATTACCAGTGAAAAGAACCTCAAAGTTTAAAAATATCTTCCTCTCTGGGGCTGTATGTCTGGTATAGAACTTCTTCAAGAAGGGGTCTGGAGAGACAGCTCAGCGGCCAAGAGCATATACTGCTCATGCTGAGGACCCGAGTTCAGTTCCAGCACCCACACAGCAGCTTACAAGCGTCCTTAACTCCAGTTCCAGGGGATCTGGGTCTCTTCTGGCCTCCCCCAGCACCAGGCACACATGCAGTACACTTACATACATGCAGGCAAAACACGTATACACGTAAAAACATTTTTTTTTTTTGTTTTTCGAGACAGGGTTTCTCTGTATTGTTTTGGAGGCTATCGGTCCAGCCCAGCCTCGAACTCACAGAGATCCGCCTGCCTCTGCCTCCCGAGTGCTGGGATTAAAGGCGTGCGCCACCACCGCCCGGCGTAAAAACATTTTTTTTTTTTTTTGGTTTTTCGAGACAGGGTTTCTCTGTGACTTTGGAGGCTGTCCTGGAACTCGCTTGGTAGTCCAGGCTGGTCTCGAGCTCACAGAGATCTGCCTGCCTCTGCCTCCCAAGTGCTGGGATTAAAGGCGTGCGCCACCAACACCCGGCCGTAAAAACATTTTTAATGACATATTAAGTGAGAGAATCGAAACTGGTGACACGGGTGTAGACTGTTCCCTGGGGTGTGAGATTTGAAACTGGTGACACGGGTGTAGACTGTTCCCTAGGGAGTGAGGAAAACGTGCATGGACGGTCTCCGTGCAGACACTGGCGCAGCTCTCTCGCTTTGAAAGACATACATGAAATCAGAAGTGGGGATGTGATGGGGGATGTCCTTCTGTATATATGTTTCTCTTATTGGTTGATGAGTAAAACAGTTTGGCCAATGAGGCAGGAAGATAGGCAGGACTAGAAGACGAGGAGAATTCTGGAAAAGGTAGGTAGAGGGAGCCCACCATACTGGGAAGAAAGGACACACCAGGCATTCTCCAGTAAGATAAGATCCCGTGGAAATACATAGATTTATAGAAACGGGTTAATAATTAAGACAGAGCTAGGCAGTAAGAAGCCCTAGCCAACGGCCAACACTTTTATAGCTAATATAATGTCCATGTGTTTATTTGGGGCTGCAGCTGCAGCAGGATCAGGTAGGACAAGAAACTCCAGGGATGCCCCTAAGGAGCATGGCTCAGTGGGAGAGCACTTATCTACCTTGTACGAAGCCAAGCACAGGAACGACAATAGGACAAACTGAGGCAGACCGACCGGCAAACCCCGAAGTACTTGGCCTAGCCCAGGTAATGTGCTGCAAACCGTATAAATTCAGGGAGCTAAGCAAAGAGTCTCTAATCATATCTAGGGTCTGCTCTCTGCTGCCACAAATGGCAGATCCCTCAGCTGTGTCTTCACTGCCAATCAGACCCATCTGTTGAATTGTTTTACTAGAGTCTACATGTGTCCAACTGAAATGTGAGCCTCTCAGTCCACCCGTGGCAGAGTTTCGGAGATGAACTTTAACAAACTAAAGAAAGTCCCACCACCTCCACCAAAAAAAAGGCAACTTGGCTGGGGTTAGACTGACAGCTGTAAGCATGGTTCTACAATTCAGCACTGGGTACATGGTTTTACTTTATAGGAAGAATTACAAAAGTGTTGACAGTAGTTACCTTGGAAAGAGAAACAGGGAGAGAGGACACTTTTTTTTCTCCTTTGAGACAAGATTTCTCTATGTAACAACCCTTGCTGTCTTGGAACTAGCTCTGTAGACCAGGCTGGCCTCGAACCCAGAGAGAAAGGCAGAGAAGGAGGGGAGGGGGGAGAGGGAGGATAGGAAGATATGGGAGGTGGGCAGGGTCCCTTTAGAAGGGAATGTAGTGAATGTGCACAGGTGGTGCTCTTAGTGGCTGCAGCTGAGGGTGTATCCTGTCAGAACCCCAAGGGCAGGCCAGTACAGATGCCTGAATGCTAACACCTGCCCTACCGCATGCATACATCCCAGCCCTAATAACACACACTCCCCTCTCAGGGAACCTCGAGGACGAGGAGACAGAAGGCATATGGGCTGGAGGACAGGAAGAGTGCTGGGAAATGGTGTTTTCTGGCTGTGACAAGTCTCACTCGTGAATGCACACAACTTTAGTTACCACCACACCCCACATAAGCTCAAGTCCGTCATCCTGGCATGGATGGGGAGGAGCTGCGAGCTTCCCACTGGCTGGTCTTCCCATGCTCCACTGGGCCAGGTCTAACTGAACTTAGTGGGGGGCAGACGGGGGAGTTGGAGGACAGAAATGTAGGATAGATATTATATTGAATTGTGTACATGTTATTTCTCAAGAAAGAAAAATTATAAATACTTTCAAAGATGACACAATAATATATCTTTTTTCCTTATATTTCTTTGTATAAAGGAAGAAACATTTAATTTGTAAATATTAAAAACTACAGACTGTAAAACAATATAGAGAAACCCTGTCTCGAAAAACAAACAAAAACAGAAACTACAGACTGGACATGGCAGTGCATACCTTAATCCCAACAGAAGGTAGCAGGGTCTCTGGAGATTTGAGGCTAGCATTGTCTACATAGTGAATTCCAGACCAGTCAGGGCTATATAGTAAGTTCGTGTCAAAAACAAAAACTAAAACGAATACACACACGCACAATCTTCGGGGCTGGAGAGATGGTTCAGTGGTAGCACTCGCTACTGTGTTCAGTTCCCAGCACCCACATGGAAGCTGACACCAGGCGTGCACACGGCACACAGACATATACAAGTAAAGCACTCACACACAATAAAGAATAATAATAAATTAGTTTTAAGTTAGAGCTGGAGTGTAGGTTGGCAGAATGCTTGCCTACCACGTTCAAAGCCCTGGGTTAGATCCCCAGCACAGAATAAACTATATGTGGGAGCCCCTGCCAGTGATCCCAGCACTAGGGAGGTGAATGCTGGAGAATCAGAAACTCAAGGTCACCTCAGCTGTGTAAAGACTTCAAGGTCAAAGACGCTGGACTGAAAAACAATTTTAATTAAATCTGTCATTTGATTAAGACCAGCTGGGAAAATTTATTTTCTCTATCCATAATCAACACATCCAAAGCCCGCACAGCTGGGATGAGGAGTGGAGCTCGTGGTGGAGCACCTCCTGGAGCACCTCCTGGAGCACCTCCTGGAGCACAGCAGGCAAGGCCCTGGGTCTGATCTAATCACTGAAATATTAAGTTACACTTAAAAAGAGTAAAGCCAGGAAACGGAACTCACAAAGGAAAGGGGCGAGGGAGGAACCTCCTTAATGGAGTGTGGTAAACTGATTTTAGCAAGTCATTATATCCCACTAAGTACTTAAATATTGATACTCTACACCAAGGTTCCTGTGCTAGGAATGCAGTTTGCAAAACACTGAAGTGATTAAAGATATAAATATATATAAAATCGTTCACTTCAGTGGTTTGCATTCAAGAAAAAAAAGCAGAAGAAAGTCGACCATCCAGCAATGACAAGTTGGACTGTGGCTCAGGGAGTGTGTGTTTGGCATGCATGAAGCCCTGAGCCCCCACTGATCCTCAGAAAAGAAGGAAAGAAAGTGTGGGTGGTGAGGAGGAGAGAGGAAAAAGGAATAATTGGTAAGATGTCTCAGCAGGTGAAACTTCTAACTGCCTCACCTGACCTAAGTTTGATTCCCCAGGACTCACCTGGAGGAAGGAGAGACCCGACTCCCACAACTTGACCTCTGACCTCCACATGTGTGTCATGGTGTGCTAACACCAACACACACACACAATAAGTAAAAATAAAAGTATGTCATTTTATCAAAGAAGGAGTGGAGGAGGTGAGTTACAACTCCACTAAACAAGCAATCAGGTATACTGGTGCACAACTTTGATCCCAGCCTTTGAGAGGCAGGTGGATTGCTATGAGTTCAATAGCGTAGTGAGTTCCACAATAGCCAGGGATACATAGTGAGACCCTGTCTAGAAAAAACAAAACAAACAAAAGTGAGGTTGGTTTCTATACATTGACATGTCTAAAATTGATTGACTGGCCAGGTGTTGGTGGCGCACGCCTTTAATCCCAGCACTCCGAGGCAGAGGCAGGTGGATCTCTATGAGTTCGAGGCCAGCCTGGTCTACAAAGTGAGTTCCAAGACAGCCTCCAAAGCCACAGAGAAACCCTGTCTCAACAAAAACAAAAGATTGGTTGACTGAAAAGATAAGAATGTCTACCATGGGGCTGGTTATCCTCCTGGGTGCTGGAATCACAAGCATGTGCCGCTCTGAGGAGGCCCTGAGTTCAGCCAAAAGCAGTGCAGCACACATGCGCACACACGTCCACTGAGATTACGCATTTTAAAGACATGACAGATGAGTTCACATGTGTGCCAGGGCTGTGGATGGAGTGTGTCACTCAGAACACCTCCTTCATGACCTGAAAACATACAGTCGCAGGCTCCCTGCCCATGGCCATGAAGCCCACTTCAGCCCCGAAGGTAGCAGGGGTCCTGACGACGCTGTGGCCATGGTGGGGAGGATGTGTGGGAGACACCGTGGCAGGACCCGTGAAGCCGCCACTGGAGACATCACAGTGGGCTTGGCAGCATGCCCCGGAACGGCTATCAGACTATCACAGGCTTGAGAGTGAGTGTG